CCAGTCTTCATTTCTGAGCTTGCTGCTATCGTTTTTATCGTGGTGCACGCTCACGATACAAGGCTCGACGCTTGGGCAACGTGATTTCACCAGTTGACCACCGAACAAATTTGGCTCTAGCAGATGCCGCGGACCCAGTCGCAAACGTAGACACCAAACACTCCCACTTCTCATCTTTCTAAGATCCTCATACGCGTGCTGGTATGTCTCTCTACTTCCCAAGTTAAACGTCAGGACTGAGCCAAGTACTTGTAAAAGTCGGAAGTGAAAATATAACTTTCGTTCGTGAATACATCTTGTCCTCTTTGAAGGTTTTGGATTGGCATGTCGAAGAGGACACCTTTACCGACAATACTCCATATGGCCCCCGTTCATTCACCAACATCATTGCGACAAAAGACCCAGCACGCCTCGCGCCGTGTCATATTGTCTGCGCACTATGACAGCAAGTTCTTCCCCAACTACCCAGATAATCAGGTGCTTAGCAAAGTTTTCAATTGTAGTCTACTACCAGAGAAGCTGCGTACTAAGCCAATCAGTTCCTAGGTGCGACAGATTCCGCAGCACCATGCGCTATGATGCTCGACCTAGCAGAGACCTTGAACCCCCTTCTCGACCAGCGCAAACAACGTCTCGAGGATGGATATGAAGATGATGAAGATGTGGCAGATACAACCCTTCAACTTGTGTTCTTTGATGGCGAGGAAGCCTTCAAAGATTGGACTGACACAGACTCTGTTTATGGGGCTAGGTCAGCCATTCCTTTAAGCATGACGTGACAACTAAACCATGGGCGTACTTCCATCTAGACATCTCGCGAACAAATGGTCAACAACTTACATAGCACCTAATTCTAAACGGCGGCTGCTTGGGCATGCAAGTTTGACAGAGTTATCGACTATAGAGCACATCATCCTCCTCGATCTCCTCGGTGCCCCGAACCCGACAATACGGTCTTATTTCATTGACACGGCTTGGTTATTTGATGCCATGATTTCCGCAGAAACTCGACTCAAGGATGCCGGTGCTCTTGATGCATCCGAAACGTCTTCAAACTTCCGCAGTTTCTTCTTACCTCGAACAGGGTCTGGGAACCAATACAGCTACGGCTACATCGGAGATGATCACGTACCCTTTCTACACAAAGGCGTCAACATTCTTCATATTATTGCATATCCTTTCCCGCGTGTCTGGCACACTCTTGGGGTTCGTTGTCGTTCTCATGGTCGTTTTTTTACTGTTGACCCGACATTCTCTAGGATGATGCCTCAGCACTTGACCTATTAACCATGCGCCGATGGAACATGATACTACGCGTGTTCATGTCCGAATACCTGAATCTTCGACCTGAAATATCGCAACCGTCCCCTAAGCACGATCGCCTCCATCGTTCTGCCAGTGAATTGGTGAGATTTATTCTAGTTATCGATGTCTCACACTCAGTAAAACCATGGAGCCCAGTGACCTTGCGATAAGAACAGGTTGACCGACTAAGACCAGTCACTTGATTCATCAGGAGACGAGGAAAACACGTGCGAATTTCAGAGAGAGGGAACATAGACTGCGAACGTAACTGGAAAGCACTCGGAAAAATATTTACCGCCCAAGGACGAGTGCTTTGTAATGTTTCACGAGTTCGGAGGCATCCATGGCGAGCTGTGGGTGGGTTGCACGTTAAGCTCCGTTACTCCTCGAGAGAATACATCAGTCTCAGACCTTCTGCTTTTCTCGTGCATCATCAAGGCGTGCCTTTGCCTTCTCCATCAGCCTCTTTCGTGATTTGCGCATGTCTACTTCCCATGCTTCCACTGTGCATAATTATTGATCATGCTGGGTATATGCGCTGTGAATACGCTAGGACTCACCCGTAGTCTTCATCGTATCCTCAGTTTGTATGCGCTGGTGAACGACTCCGTCGAGTAACGGTGAGTAGGCTGCACACAATGCATCAATCTTCTCCTTGGAGACCGTCAATGAAAGATAATGATTCGGTGGCTGTTCTCTTTGAGACGTACCTCATCGACCTTGAGTCGCGCTGGGAGGTCGGAGCGATTTGTTTCGTGTTGCTCCTTCATATAGGCTAGAGTGGTCTGTACCGAATCACTTTCGAATGCGAAGAAGGCTTGTCAGTCGCGCAGGAGAGTGTTGAGCTACTTACATATAGGCATTTGTTTCCTCCACAAGTTTGGCGCTTTCTGTCCGGGCAGCCGCGAACGTGGTTCTGGCCCTTGCTTCTAATGAAAGAGGACAATTATCCTTCTTGCTTGGCATCCTCCTTAGCAAAGTTCAGTGAACGGGATCGCTGGCACACAGAAGATATGACCAAGACCAACACCGCGATCAAAGTGGTCAAAAATTCAAGAGCCCCGATATTATTTCAAGACATACCTGTGGTTATCAGGTTTGTCCTTACACAGGTTAGTGAACGTGACTTTTACAAGCAGGCTGGTGCGAGAAGCGTTGCGGGCTAATTGATTATATCAAGAGAGGCGAAGATTCAGTGCCAACGCTGTAAGTATCTCATTGACGCGATGTTTCTTACCGTTGACTGCTCTAGTATCGATTTTCCGGGGCTGAAGGTAGTGGTTTCGAAGTAATGAACCCGGATCGATAATCATACGGCGTAGACGCGTCTGTGGCAAAGATCACGTGACCTGACAATTACCACCTCTTCTCATTCGAGTTATGCCACTTTCTACCAACTGTCTACTCGTACATATCAGCTGAGCCCATGGCCAAACGTCGTACAATTATACCTTAAGCTGGTGGTAAGGAAATTTCCTGCAGCTTCTCCAGACAGTCCAGCACGACTCCCAACGCAACCAAACCGAAGCTTTGCGCGCCATAAGCCTCTTTTGAATTACTCTTCTCGTGACTGTGCGCCCAAGCAGACCACCCGTTCTCTAAGCCATCCCGCAGATCATCAGGCGACGCGCTCTCCATACTATCCGGTAGCATTCTGCGTCGAATATCGTGAACGAGGACAGAAATGCATTCTCTCATTGCATATGTCCGATTACTTTTCCAACTCTTCTGCGAGCACTTGGCAAGGATAGTTCCGACGACGATCTCATCCTCGCGTAGGCGTGCACCAGGTACCCGTGAGAGTGTATGGCAGGTTGCAACGTAGATGAGTTCATCCAGGTATGCTGAGTATATGCTGTCCATAGAGACCTTGAGTTTCGAAGGTCTCTCGCGACGCTCTAGTTGTCGTTCAACTAAAGGACGAAGTGTAACGGAAATCAGGTCACTCAGTGGCTTCTCTAGCTGCTGAGGATGGTAGGGGGGTATTTCCTCGAGCTGAATGTTACGATATAGGTGGCCCAAGGCGCGGTCTGACTCATAATAATCTGTCGGTCGGGGCGACTCCACCTCTGCTGCATGCCAATCGGGTTTGTATGGGATGAGGTTGCGAGGAATATCTTCCATATCGACCTTCAATCCGTTCTTTGGGTAGTCAACGGCTTGGCTGTGAAGCTCTGCGAGCTTTAAGCATCTCTCATTGAATGTTCCGTCCTATAATATGATGTGAGCTCGAGCTGTGCACAACTTCGATGACACTACACACGCTAGCTTGATCTGCGGAGAATCAGTGGGTGTGTGCGATTCTCGCAGAATAGGAACTTGCCTGCAATGATTATGTGCTTGCTCGAGACTAGCCCCTGTAGCTCACCTCAGCTATCGAACAGCTGTCACTCACCCGGAATTAACGTACCACAACATCTGAGTTGATATATTCCACAACAAAATCACACACGTCGTCAATTGTGCTGGGTTGATCGATCTTGAAAGGCGACCTTGAAGGATAGGACGCTGGATCATGGTGATCCGGGAGGATCAAGAGTGGATGTTGTATAATCTCGTAGAGATCGCTAAAAGATGTGAACAACAGTTCAGGACGGTCGGTGGTGGGAATTCCTTACCCGTCAAGATCACCACCGCCGAGCGAGTTAGCTAAACAAGTTGTGCCTATGGTCGAAGATATAGGTAGACGGAAATATTTCAAACACGCGTCCACCTACCAGTGGATGAGAATACAACTACATTTTTTAGGTGAGCAAAAAGGCAGAGTTTATCAGTTGGAGGTTTTCCGATGGCATATGCTTGCTGAACTAAACCCGAGTTAAATCGCGATACTTTCTGCGATAAGCAGGGACGAACCATCGCCTGGATGTATGACAGGACTCCTCGAGACCATACAAGGACCATGGAGCCATATGGGCTCATTATCCCCTGGTTTTTGAACACACGCTAAGGGGCAGGTAAATGAACAGAGCGAATTGTCAGAAACGAGTCACATACCATATATCTTACCAGGAGCGAGCTTGAAGACGTTCGAGCGGCCTCTTTTCTCGTAAGCAGGTCCTTCATCCGTGACACCCATCAGCATGTAGCTGTTAGGAATTGGAATGCGTGCATCATGTTTGACCGCTCTTAACACGTGATTAATGGCACAGTATCGTATCTGTGCCAAAAAGGGGGTGTCGATGTTCCGCTGAAGAAGTGTCGGTTTCAATTCCAGACCGAGGGTGTTAAGTTTCCTTAATGCCGATGCCAGTCGGAAGGGTTGAGATAATCCGTGGCTTTCCAAGAGCCTCGCAAAGATATCAACTGAGTCGTGAGCGGTGCGTGCCTCCGCGACGACCTTTCGTTGCAAGTCCATAAAGGTTTCTTTTGAGGCACCTCGGTCTTCTAGAACTGTAATCAAAGGTCTGTACAAGTCGCTTTAGCATCCACATTATGAAACGGATGAAACCCGAAATGAAAGGAACAGAGGAAATAATAAGGACTGCAAATACCTGTTAAGATGAGGAATGTTGGGTTTCACGACGGGACGCGCGATCTCTATCATAGCGTACTCTTGGCCATGATCTTTAAACTTGTTCATGCTTTCTCGCAAACAAATTTGGATTCCCTGGAGTTCCTTGTCGATAGCCACGACACCTTTGTACCCAAGGAATCTGATTTGGTACTGTAATCCTGTTCAGTACAGTACTTTGAAGCGCAAAGTCACTTACAGCCGAAGGTTTCACTGCATACGCACCGCCATCTCGTCGAGCGCTGCGGAGAATTTCCCAGATTTTATCACCAAGTTCCTCGCTGATGGTGCCGACACCGTCAGAAAACGTGACATTGTTTTCCACGATATCAGGCATTTCCGACCACTGTGACCGATGAATTTCGACCGACGGATCTGTCGCCGTAAAAGCTTGCTGAAAGACTATTAGAAAGAAGTTTCGCAGAAACAACCGACTCACGGCCATTCGGGCAGCATACTTCGAAGGGGAAAAAATACACCCGCTGAAGTCCCCCAAGCCACTTCTTATGGTATGTGCGTTCACGGGCCCTTTAGCGGCGTGCTGGAAGGAGCTAACGAACCAAACGGCATGCTCCCTCAAGGCAGATTGGGAGTACGCTAAAAAATCGAAATGTTTGCCCGCCAGCTTAAATCCGTTCTTCAAAAATTCTCCGACACGGTGCCTGACAAAGCTCGCCCCATCTACTTCCCTATCCCAGCGATACTGGAGACGATCCTCGTCACGAAAATCGACTCGAATGAAGTTACCTTCATAGCCTTCATACTCGCGAATAACACGATTCGATTGCATTATGTTAGGCCCTTCGAGGATGAGCCGAGTCGGAGTGACTGTAACATGGTGACAATAAAAACGGCCAGGAGGCGCCTCGGGAGGGATATTGCCGAGCCTCCCCTGCAGCACTTGCTCGAAGCGAGTTTGAATTGTTTGACCTGGAGGACGGCTCGCGGCTCTTATCACAAAAAAGCGCATGATGGCTGCGGCAGATGGCTGGTGGCGGCGAATCAGTTCATTGATCCTCGGGCGCAAATCCTCGAGTTCCTTTGTATTTGCAATACCATTCCGAAGAAGGGCCTCGATCTGAAAGGCTACAGGCCAGTTTGAGCTCAATGATTCCAGCCATTTTTGAACCAAGGCCAGTTTTCTGCTCGTGAAGAATTCCTGGCGGGTAGCTTCGATGAAGACGCTGTCGATTGGAGGACGAAGCTCTGCGATTCTACAGAACTGCTTGAACTTGTCCAGATCTCCGGGCTCGGAGAGGATGATGCGTATGTGATGAGCATATGGAGCAATTTGCTCATGCCCTGGATGTAGAGCACCAATGCGATCACGATAATTCTGCGAATCTAACCGCGTGCCGGTAAGGGTTCTGTTGACGTCTTCTCTCTCGATGATCGGCGGTGTGAACAGATCGAAACATATGTCTAGGGAGATTCTACATTCAGATATCCAAGCTACGAGCACCATGCTTACATTGATTACCAAAATCGTAGCCCACAGCCATCTTGTTGATATTGACGAACTTAATGATCAGGCTGTACAACAGTTGTCCCCGCGCCGGATCGCCAACCTGGCCAATTACATGATGTGATTTTTCTATTCAGAATGAAACGCGTGCCAAACCTTTGCACGGATCAGTTTGTGCTCGTATTCGAATTTCAACCACCCAAGCCCAGAGTCGACAAGATCGCGCTCCCATTCCACACTGAAGGCACGTGGATCCAACGGTAGAGCATTTTGAGGGCGATAGAACGTTCCTAGAAAATAAGATGATGATATCCCAGGGCAAAAAGTACATGGGGGAACTTGTAACACACCAATTTGTACTGTGGCGATCCGAAAGTCTGAACTTAATGCATCGATCTTCTCCTGCCGTTTCTGAGCAATATCCGGGTCCACGTACGGAGCCTTTGCGAGGGTGATTAGGATGTCGTTTGGGATATGCTTGGTTGTAGGTCTGAATTTCAGACACTTTTTGCCGACCTTGATGGTGATACCATCTTCGACGTCAACAAGCCGACAGAATTTCAGCCCCACGCTCTTAGAGGGTAGTCTGAGTGTCCCAGAACCGCTGTTACGAACGCCTCCACACTCGTTCTTGTCCAGCGTGACTCTAAAATTGATGAGCCGCTGCTGGGCATCGGCATCCGATACAAATGGTCCGGGACACGCATGTAAAACCTCTGCGATCGCTTTCGTGACGTCATATTCAGTCGCTCCAAAATCTACGTTTCGAATAATGAACTCCATGAAAAAAATGAGGGTATGCTTGGGGTAAGAGGGAAGAATGGATGGTCGATCGATAAGAAATGTTGGAAGTTAAGTACGAGTGCTAAATATAGACCTTCTAGATCTAGTCGAAACTAACATTCAGAACCCCAAGCCTTGAAACGCGATTCAAAGGCAAGAAGTAGACTAGCCCGTGATAAATTTCCATGACTAAATCTGAGTAGCATTTGCTACTTGTACGGTATACCTGCAAACGCTTCAGGTCCCAGAGGGATCGTATCAGGTATGCTTCCGACTTACCATTTTGTATCTGAGCAAACAACATGAGCATGTCTAATACATACAAGGGAAAATGACGCACCCGTTGGAACTCATCGTAGGCTGTGCTCCTCACATTTTCATGAGCATTGCGGATGATGCCCATCATCCATTCTGCAGCTTGACGCTCGTTCAACCCGAGCGCAAAACGATCCTTGAGGCGCTTGATGGTGGATTCACCCTTGAACGACGGGAGACCGGTGCCTAGCATGAGCTGGACTGTGCTGACGAGTTGATCTGCATGAGGTCGGATAGCGAGAAAAGCCTTCACTGTGAGATGTTGAAATAGCTCGTAGCCTTGGGAATATCTGCCGCCCATTAGAACTACCATCTCGTGTGTTAACTTGAAGGAGCTAGGTTCAAATTTGACTCCCTGAAAAGCGCAATGCAAGATCAGACAATTGCTAAAGACATCGTCGTCTAACGATAAGCACTCACTCCAGGACGTGAATATGCGTCAAAAATAAAGTAAGCAAGCATCTCAATAATCGTGAAATACAGAACTCATCTATATCAAACAGGAATCCAAAATCTGACACCAAGTTCAACGCCAGTTGCACTCTGATACAACTAAAACTTACCGATGTGCACAATATGCCCTTCGCCATCAATCATAATATTGCCGTTGTGACGATCCTTGATCTGCAAGATATAGCAAGCAACGGAATAAGCGGCCATGGACTGGATGAAATTGAGGCGAGCACGCTGGAACGCGACAGTCTCTTCTCCGCCGTATTTCGAAATAAAAAAGTCAAGCAGGTCATTTACTGTGGCTCTTCCCATCTCATCTCGAGATGTGGCATTCGGAACGACGTCGATGACACCACACTTTAACACTACATAAGCGTGGTCCAGTGTCAATGAAAAGGAAAACGCGCTTACTCCAGCAGCAGTTGCGGTAACCCTGTAAGGGAAGAGATAAAGAGTCAACCCGATACTGGTGAAGATGTTTTTGAACATCGCGATGACTTGCAAGGCCAGCACATCTTGTCGGCAATCATCGCCAACTTTGAAGATAGCCTGTTGCCAAACATCATATTCCTCGCGTTTCTCGAGCGCACCGTCCAAAAGAGACTCTGGATCGGAATCAATAATGATGCGCTCCTTCCTCACTTTGAAGGTAGCCATGAACGGTGCCTTCACAGAAGCTGCAATTAGCGACAGACAGGCGAGAGAATCATCTACGTACCTTAGCATGACTTTGAAGCGGTCGACCAGACTTCTTATCTATATCAATAACTATACCGTCTGGGTTACTGGGCAGGTAGACTCCAACATCAACAACTATCTTGATCATCTCTTCATCAATTTTTGCCTGTAAAAAAGATATCAAACCACATTCAAAAAATGTATCTTCGAACGTCTCACCTTTTTCTCAGGTTTCGACTTTTTAATGAAAGGCTTCAGTTTCCCAGAAATCGAGGTTACTTCGTTGAAAAATCCGAATTCTCGATCATAAAAGGCACGAGCATCACCAGATAACGAATCGACCACCATATCAGTCATCTTATCTAGAGCGTGTTTCATAGGATCCTCCTAGTCTCGCGTCAGCAGAGCGAAAATGAAAACAAAGATCGAACTCACAATCTCAGCAGCGTCATCCTTGTAGCAATTGGCCTTCATGTTCCATATAATTTGGTGGCAAAAGAGTTGAGACACCTTTGCAGTTTCAAAGATGAACTGCGCGATATATCCTAGAACGTGCATTCAGCAACCATACCAGCAGGAGACTACAGATACACACCGAGGTCATCAAACCGAAGAGCCTGAACAACTTGAGGAACAAAAAAGAATGTTAAATCAACAGGATGCTGCTTCAGCACTCGATGGGCATATTGCAGCAAAAGCGGATCATTCCCATGTCGCGGTTCGAAGAAGGTAACAGCGATCACAGGCGGAACAGGCTCCCACACAACGATATACTGACAACAACGTGAATTCTCCAATCACAGTAAAACAAATCAGAAATCACCTTCAGCTCTCGTCTCTGTCCACCTCGGAAATGATCCCCGATCAAAAATCGAAGAGCTTCCGGAGTGCCCACTACCTGGCTGGGGTTGGAACGCACCAAATTCTCCACCTCAGCATGGGCTGCCGGGCTTTTGAAACGCTCGGTCAGATAGATCGCTATGGCTGGATCTACCTCCCACACGGTTCGCACTGTACCAGGCCAAGTCGACTATTGAAACCGCATCATTCACCATTCGCAGAGAAATGGAGGTGCTTACTTCAAGCATATTGCGCTCTATCAGGCTTTGGTGGTCAATGCCCCGTTTCGCTTCGTTGCTGGGATTGGCCCAGACAGTAAGCCTGAATATCTCATTCTCTACTAGAAGACGGAGCGGCTGGTTGATATTCTTGAGGCGCGCAGCATAAACTACAGTGTATCAGCTCACGCGGGGAATAGAAGGCTCGTTGTACTCACGGGACGTCTTCGACGCAAACTGATGAGGAGCAAGACTCGAAAGGGACGATAGACTCCTGACTGAGTCAGCCTGGAGATGCACAAGAAACTCGGACAAGACTTTGATATCAGCATCGACTTGCACTCGATTGGCTCCGAAAGACCACCTAGGCAGCGTAAGCGATCGCACAAATAATAATATCGGAAATATACTAACTGAGGACGAACAGCAAACCACGAATACGCCGTGCAATACAAACTTTCGCGCAGCATACACTCACAAACAGCATCTAAATGAGAGCTCTTCAACGTCTCCAGTCCGAAAAGAAGGAACGTGTAGCGCAACTCTCGAGCCAGCGGATGCGTGCTGAAGGAATTTTCAATACGACTTCAAATGGTTAAAGTAATGAAGTACCTGAAAAGCTTGTGCGCTCGCGCAGATCGCAAAACAAGTCTCTGGATGAGGAACATCACAGTCGAGCGACAATACCTAGCCGATTGTAATCGACTGAATAACATCTGCAGAACAAGCGTATGCGGCATGAGCAACCGCCGAGCATGAGTCGTCGCTCGATCTATTTCGTCCTTGTCGGTTGGACTGTAACCGATGGGATGGTAGAAGGGATCTTCATAACTGTGGATTGTCAGTCGCGAAGGGGGTTGGAATGCACAGGATACGACGGACTTTGATGAAGCCGAGAACACGCCCTTCCGCTCCTTCACAGTCCCAAACCAAGACGTAAGCACCTCACACATAATCGCAACTTCCATGTTAGGACGCTCCGCAATAACCCACGTCCACGTCTCAATTCCCGCAGCAACCGCAGAAGGCGTGAAAACCTCAAACGGCAGAGCGACCAGGAAATGCACCAAGGTGTAATCGCACTGCAAATCATGAGAACGTATACAAGAAGGATACAAAGTTCATCTAACCTTCTCCAACGATATGAGAATTGCTGCACAGCGGAACAATAGACGCTTCAGATCCTGGACAGTCAAAGAGCTGCGTTTATTCCGAATATCATTCATGGTAGCAGCCATCTTGTCCTTGAAAGGCTGCACACCAGTGTATAGCATTTGAGGGGCTACTTTGTCTAGCGAATCTTGGTCTTGCGAACGTTAAGAGCGCCCGACAGTATATCAGGTAGACCGACTTACTTTTACGAGTCGCAAGTCGTAAACCAGCGACTTCCCCTGAGAAATAGCATTTGCTCGCAAGTTGACTGGCAAGAGCACGGGAACGATCAGACTTCCAGTTTGACAGGTTACACAGAGAGGCTGCGATATAAAATGATCAGAATACTTATGCTTAATCTAAGAGCGAGCACCCACAAAGTTGTCGATGCACAGGACCAAACGCCTTAGCGAAACGTTCCGCAACAGAAGCTCCCAGCTCAGCAGTATCCGCACCAATCAGCGGTTGCGTCGCTGCAAGATATTTCTGTACCAACAACATGAAGCAAAAGAACCGCAAATGACAATAAAGCGAACCTGAAGCGTCGACTGGAGCTCAATAGGAGCCCGGCTAAGCGCGAGTTCAAACCACGTATCGGCATTACGCTGCAGCTGTCCAAGAATGTTATTTCGCACTTTATAGTCGTCCGTGAGCTGTAGCGTGATGCCCGTGCACTCAGAGTGGAACTCGAACACCGGATTGTACTGCAATTAAACGTTAGCTACTCGACTTGATAGAATCATATCCCCGTCACCTCGTCCGTAAACTCGTTCTCGCACGCGTGACGCAGAAGCGTAAGGCACTCAAGGATTGCATACACCAGTGGCGGATCGCACATAAGAGACGGGAACGACGTGATCAAGCTGTACAAGTATTTCGTTGCAACGTCCCGAGCACGAGATATGCGATGAGTGCTGCCTACAAGCAGCTTCCTCAGCTCCTCAGACAGGTGTTTCGGAAGTGCCTGTTCCAAAGCTTGGGAATTCATCTCCCCAATACATCCGCGGATAACCTGTTCCTCATTAGTTCAGCGCACCGTATCCGAGGATAAACATTACCTTGTCAGCTATAGATTCCATGCATGCAATGAGATTGCTCAGTCGATTCAGGCTGCCATTTGTAAAGTATGACACCAAAGACGATGGGAGGCCAGCAGCAGATCGCATGCTCTCGATGTCGTGCATCGTCAGCAAGAAAATAACCTGTCCCGGGGATAAAGAACGTATCTCGCTGGTGCGATGTGGGATGTGGCGTGTAAGGGACGACCGATGCTTTGAGATGACCTGTCAAACTCATTTCAGTGCGGCCCTTTCCAAACCAAGCAGCACTGACAGAATGCGCATATTCATGCCGGATAACAGTGCTATACTCGATGTCGCTCGCTACATCATGGGCATTCTCGAGCACGAGAGCTGGCGTCTTCGTTGCGATCTTTGCGAGCGCAGGGATTAGCCACGTCATCGCACCCCTCTCCTCGCCAGAAGTGAAGTTGAAGAGGACGCAGAGGAACCACATGGTCCGGAAGTGCGCAGTAAGCTCTTGGGAAGCGGTCAAATGCGGAGAGTAATCCGCATGTGTAAGGAGCGCTTCGATGGGCAACAGTAGAGAGGCCAGCTGCCCGATCATCTCTTCCGTCTGAATAGCATTCAGTACAAGATTGTAATATCTGACCAGACTTACTTTGACATGTCGGTCGGACATCGCCACGTTCTGGATAGCAACGCCTTTGTCCGAGAAGAGAGTGAGCAGTTCGACCAGGTACACATCATACAAATCCGGCCTTTGATCCAGCTCTTGAGCAAGTCTCGTTTGGGCAGCTAACACCTGCTATCCATTAGCACCTGTGCCACACACATAATTGCCTACATACCATGTTATTAGAGAATCTCGGATCTTCCGAATTCGTAGCGCGATTGATGTGCGAAAACGCGCGCACAACGTCTACAAACGACTCTTCGGGAGCTACAAGCGCAAGGTCCACAAGATTATATGCGATAGCAGCCTCGAGAGTCGGCTCCGAAGTCCGTAAGCGCTGCAGCAACATCGATATCGTGAGCTTAGTGACCTCCTCCTGGCCCGCAGTGTGGAACTCGAGTGCAAGGCGCGTGACGACGGAAATAGTCGTGATCCCGATGAGCCGCTTCTCCTCGTCTGAGCGACCGTGTAGGCCTGTCTCGTCGCTATGGAAGGTCATATTATCATTGGGGGAGGTGGTCGAGGAGGCGTAGAGGGGATTAGAGAGGAGTTGTTGAGAAGAGGAAGATTCGGATATCTCTTTGGAAGTTGCAGCAATGTAGTTGAGGAGTGAATACATATTGGACATGATAGAATCGTCACCAGGTGACAGCTGGGAGGGCTTGAGGCGAATTGACAGAACCGGGTAAGGAAACACATACCTTGATGCAAAGCGCAAGACATTTGGCAGCCGCCGTCAGAGGTGGAGGTGCCCTCTTCTCGGTGTTGAATGCGAACTCGAATATCGAAAGGGGAGACGTAACGAAGTGACGGAGATGGATGACGAAAGACGGAGCGATTTCAGGGAAACTGTAAAAGATGAGCAAAGGAAGCGCTGCGCGTTTCATGACCTGACTAACCTTCGCACAAGCACTGTAGTAGCCTTGAGCGCCGATTCCTGAACAAGATTGTCCAGAATGGGTGCGTTGTCACTCAATAGCTGTGCCAGGCGAGTGTGTAAATTATTATCGATCTCTCGAAGCGCAACCGAGCAGACAGATGCTAGTTTCTATTCATGAAAAACAGGTCAGATGTCACTGATTGAAGTACGAGGAAAACATACCAGACTCTCGGACATGGTCTCCCATGCATACGTATCAACTGGAGGTTGAGTTTCCATACCCTCAATCTGCTCCAGCAGATCACTAAAGCACTGCAGGGCATCTCTAACGATATACCTCAATGCTTGCTTCGTCTCCTCTTCGTCCTCTAATCCCAAATCCTTCGCAGGGCATTTCATTAGGTTCACCCAGGCTTTGTTCGCCGCGGCGGCTTCGCGCACTTGGCCCTTGTGCACCAAAGGAGTGCTTGCAAGAGCTTGCGCGAGCACAGTCCATTGCATTTCCATGACACAGCACACGATGAAGTACCCGCTTAGTGGGCGTCCAAGCGCAATGTATCGAGAGATGAAGGTATGGCAGAAGGCGATGGAGGTAGGGTCGAGGTCGGGATCGGCCTCGGCTTCTTGGTGTATGTCAAGTAGGAGACGGTTTATTCGTTCAAGGACGGGAGTTGCGATTAGGGACTGGAGGGAGGCAGAAAGAAGGCGCCATTGAGAGGCTGTCCAAGGGTAAAGAGTGGAGGTTATAGCACGGTACAATCCATGGATAGAAGGAGTAAGGTGTGAAAGCACATCTATGGCTGGGAGGATGTTAGAAGGCCTGCGCTGAAGGTTAAATGGACCTTACAGCTGGATTCCTTGAGGTTCTCCACGATGTCAGTGACGAAATTAATGATAGAGGCGACGGCTTTGTCTGCGTATTCTGGGTGTGCGCCGCAGATACGTAACAGGGCAGAAACAGTGGAGAATACCAGCTGGTCAGGGAGGGCCCACTCTAATGGAGGTCAGGGACGCGGAAGACGGCATAGGAGAGATGACACACCATCCCATGAGAGACATTGGTCAAAGTCCACGCGTGGCACGTCATGCAAGAGATTCGTTAGTACGGGAATGAGGGTATCGATTTGACTGGCGATATGTTCCTCCGGAAAGTTCGCGACGAGTTCTCCAAAAGCAATATTGCAGTGGGCCCTGGCCTCGGACTGGGCCCTGATGATAAGTCAAGGTACAAACATTGAACAGACGCGTACCATGAATGTACGAGGTTCATCCCTTTCCGGAGAGTCATCATTGGGTAGACTGTGATTCTCATCTGCTAGCTGAGCCTTGGACTGAATGAGGTCGCGGGCAGTAAGGAGGTCCTCTTCTGTTTCTGGTAGAAGGGTAGCAAGGTCAGAGAGAATTCGCTGGCGGATGTTCAACTCCAGGCTAAAATATAATTGTGAGATGAATGTAAAGTTAAAATTGAGTAACGCACCAGTCCATCGTTCTTGTGCAAGCCGATAGTCTGCGGAGTAGCGGCGTAATAGTAACGTGTGAAAAGTATTCTTCCTACTTGTATCAGATCTCCATATTTATTATTGTCATAGCCTCGTATCACCCAAACTCGAATCTACGCCAGCATCTCACTCGAGGCTCAAAACAAATATTATTTTGATCATCTTCTATCTTCTACCATTGAATCTCAAACTTGGTTCAGCGTGTTGGTAGCGACGCCCAACCCTCACCCAAGTTTGAGAGCCACAACTAGTCTTCGACGAATCAATACTATACCGCTACCAGCTCAAACAGTGCGAAGACTAAGTACTGCTTGCTCTGGTGGTGGTGTTAGCGATCGCGAACCTCTACACTATGAGCATGCTCCACCAAAAAGACTCGGTCGTCATTGAGGTCTGGCGTAGTCTCCAGTTAGACGTCTTTGTATTCATAGTAGGTTTTCCTGGTTCATCTACCGCGATACTATCTGATCATGTATCAAAGACGCACTCGCACAGATCTCCTCACACCAACCCGTGTAAGTGCCTCCGTCACACTGCCGGGCGTTATCCTAATCCATCCTGAACAAGTCCACATCGAATCTCTTCCCCCGGTTCATCCTCTACCTCAACCGCTTCATATCGATGCCAACAAGGGCGGCGTTGCAAAAGTAGGGGAAGCAGGCGATGTTCGCGACAGAGTTCGATATACTGGCGCCCAGTCGGATGGTCCATGGCACGCGGTACCGCCTATGTGGAAGTGCGTATCCGTATCCATATCCATATCCCCTCCTCATGTCCTTACAGCAAGTAAACTCAGCGCTCTACCACCATCTACATCGAAGCGCCACCCGCTGGTGTCCGAACCACCGTGCCCACACAAGAACAGCATATAGGGTGACCCGCGTGTAACAACATTGTGCTGTATAGCTCCGATTTCATGTGGATGGCCAAGATCTCGAATATAACTCTGCTTGCAAGTGACGCCGCAGATCCTGCGTGGACAATTGCAGGAGTTGTAGGATCGTGGGTCAACGAACGAGATGGTTCGTATCGACGACTTCTTTGGTTCTAGTGTGGACGCAATGGCTGATGTTTGGTATGTGCTAAGTAGCGGCAGGTACATGTATGGAGTCGCGGAATTTGCATGTCAACGCGAGAAAGGTACTCGTGCGTTGGTGATGAATATCGAATGGTTCTTGTCTTCGTCTCGCAGGCAGCTTACTTTCGCCACACTACTTACTTGAAGTAGGCTCTGAGTGTCTCGCTTGTTCAAGGCACTATGGCCGAGTGGTTAAGGCGAGAGATTCGAATACGTGATATCTCTTACGGTTCCCGTGCGCAGGTTCAAATCCTGCTGGTGTCGCTTTTTTCTTCAGTTGTGCCTTGTCCAAGTATTGTTCAAGGCAATATTTCCATGTCACTTGGACAAGAGTCACAAGACGACAGGGACCGACCGGCGACCGCCATGTCAATCCACGTCTTTTCTTTTCCTCCAAGCTTCTCCAAATTCCAGCACGCATATGGATGCCTCTCTCAAGATTTCCAGCAAATCCTTTCGCTATACGCCGTCATAAAAGACCAAGCCGTCGATATCTTCATCAAGTTCAGCCATGCCGCCGACGCCTACGATCTTTGGAACTACTGGACTGTTGGAATCCTCAGTGTCATTGCTATCATCCTAGTGCTAATTCTCGTCTCCCGTTTCTTGCATACGTATTTCCGTCCAAGGCTCACGAAGGACTCCCAACGCGCCCGCACAGCCCTCCAAGCGCTCCAAACCGTCCTTGTCCCCAGCTGCTCTCTCTGGCCCGCGCGGTACATCAAGCTCGTTCAATATGCTTCCAATCATGGTTCCGGGTCGAGGATTATCATTCCTTTGAGCATGCTTCTGCAGGATATATGCGATGGTGTCATCGAGCTTCGCGATCCAGCATCCGATCTTGAGGACCTGGTAGGTGACGGTGTCCGCGCATATGGCTGTTACGTGCATCTGAGCGTTGAGTGGAAGTGGTGGGCAGAATGGTTGGATCGGACGGTGCGTGTACAGCTTGTTACTGACGCGCTTGCTGAATGACCTGGGATACGCTGATCAGTTACGCGGAGACCTCTCAGGTGGGTATATGCGGTTTTACGCTTGAAGGAAATTCTTATTCTCCACGCATATATGCTCATCATCGGCTGTTCAAGACAATACGAAGAGCGCTTACTCTTCCTATCTTCCGGCTAGCGCACAACATCTCGACAGACTGATTCACCTACTCGCAAGAGCACCTTCGCCATCCACGGACCATGGACCCATCATCAACTTCGACAACTATCCGCTCACGCACCTGGCCACTATCCAGCTTCCCCAAGGCTCCCAAACAACACTAGAGTTCACGTCTCTCTCCAGCCACATCTCCTTCCTCAGCATGACGCACGTTCTCTGTACGATCCCATTCTTGGCGCGCCGTCTTCCCCACCGCCTCTCCGATATCCTAGCAACGATAAACAACACTCCACACTTCAAACTGTCGACTCTCACGAATACCTCAACAGCATACGCCGACTCACTCGTTACATCATCTGCTACGCTCACGTATCATCCTGTGGCGAGAAAACAATGTGTGGAGGAGCTGGGCATCGAGGGATGGCGCAAAAAGAGGATGATGCTCGAGTTCGAGGCTGCGCTTGTGCGGAGGGGCTGGCTGGAGCGCTGGAACGTGGTTTTGGAGGCCCGTTGATTGTTGACGTATGTAATCGGCTGTGGTTTCCTTTCGATCATCCATGTTCATACGCAATGGTCCTACGGGCACCCCTGGACCTGGGATTTTCTTGTTGTGTTAACCAATTTCATGTTTGCAATTCCTTTTCCGCAATGCTTTGTTCTCGTTTTTGCTGTATCATCTTCTTGCCAACAATGGCTCTCGCCAGTGAATGAGATTGATTGTCGGGAAGACTTAAAGACTTATGTGGGGACCGGGGTGATTTACCAACCTCTCAGTGAGGCAGTTCCAAAACGCATATGTCACGTAATCGGTCTATTATTAGTCTTGAGGTCAGGCCGTCAACACGTCCCCTTCGCATTAAATGATAGCCTGCCTAGTGTACGTGGATTTTGGTTATGCACCGTATGATCATCTGAGGCACGTTCAGAGAGGTCTGTTCAGGTGTGTCATTTATCTCTGTCTCCGCTTCAGTTGACGCCTGATTTCAGTCATCAGTACATTCAAGTGCTTGTAGGCATCTTGCACGATATCATATAGTGACATGGCGGCCTTGTAGTCCATAAATTGGTGTTTCGGAATTGATGCTTTGGGTTGTGTTTGGGGTTGAGCTTCCTCAGTGGTCGGCGGCGCAAGGCGTTCAAACTCGGAGGACATGGCTTCCTCAATGTTCCGTGCCGCAAAGGATTTCGATTCAGAACTTCGACATAGCTTCCTGGTCCGTGCTCTTCATTTTCATTTCGCTGGGCTTCAAATTCCCGTGATCCCACACGAGCTTCACTCGCTACAATGAAGACACGCATAGACCTTTCGGTCGCTTGGGTCGGGACGAACTAATGTGGTACTGACCACTGGCAGGACGTGATCATGTGGTGTAGGGACGATGCAAGGGAAGTTTGTCGCTGAACTACGTTAATAAACTGCTTGCATGCATTGTCCACTCAGCCTCTTGTTCGCCCTGGACCCAAACCTGCCATCCCTTGTGCGAGCATTGAAACCTCGTTCCGTGTCTGTCCTCCTTCGCAGGTCATTGCGGGTTGATTATCGATGTGGTTTACAAGGTCAATAATCCTGAACAGACATAAATGTCGCATGTTCACGTTGCTGGCAGAGATGGCACGAGGAAAGAGAGAATAACATGCAATAACAGGCCTCATTCTACTGAACTTTTGGATCAGTATCATGAAAGTTCCAGAATACATCCTGATTTACACTCAGTTAACTTGGCCCTGACAGGTTCGTAACGTCATATACATATGGTTATGACGGTGAGCTCTATATCTCGCATTATTGGCAAACCTATCTTAATTTGTGTGTTTAGCGAGTATGATGAGTACGTGGCGTTGTGGTTTTCAAGATGACGTGCTAAACGCGGAACAGACCGTCTGCAGTCTCATTTAATTATACTTCGGGTGGGAAGGCGTATCGAAGCAGTGCACTGCTGGGGATGGCAGATCGTATGGACAGGAGGATCGTACAAGGTTCCAAGCGTGTCCATGGCACCCTGGCTACTAGTACTGGTGACAGTTGAATGGCGGTAGTGCATCGAAGGTCCAGGCAGCGTCTGAGATCCGACTGCGATCCGAATGAAGAACAAGCTCAAGAGCCAAGACGTGCTCTATGACAATGCAAGAGACCCGAAAACAGATGTGTCGCAGTCCAGTAGAACTGGCGCCGACGGCTATCGGCATTCCAGTCGTGGCAAGACTTGATGTACATGTAGTGTGGGTGCAACTAAGTACTGTTGGTGCGAGTTGACAAAGAGGAGGTGAAGAGCTGGCGATGCCTGATTCGGATAGTTAGTATTTCCCGGGCCGGAGGGTTGAGAATCCTTGGACGTTACGTTCAACGTTCAACGTTTAACCTCACTGAGTCACACACCAAGCCTCTGTCACTGCGGGTCACTGGGAGGGATAGACCAATGTCGATTTTCATATTCACATGACTCGTTGATAACGTTCAAGCAATATTTGCATGCCATCGATATCAATGAAGTCCGGCTCATTGCGATGAGCGCTTCTAAATGTATAGCCGTGAGGTAAATTTATCTCATTGGGTCGCAGCAGGCGCTTGTCGACCCTCTTACCCCTCTTTTTTGCGCTTAGAGACTCTTTGAACTCAGATTCAGCCGATCGATGAAGAAAAAGGTCACGCGTCTGCTGAAGGGAAGCGGCTCAAACCCTGTGGCCGGTGGAAGTCAGGTATTGAACATCGCACTTACATCTGTTGGTTGTGTGTGACGGTATTGTTCCAGCCGTCTTCTCTTTCACCTTCGGGAAATGGATCTCGCACAGGACTCTCGAAGGTCTTTCACCCCAAGTCCTGGGGCAAGTCGACCAACCCTTCCGCTCCAAGCGCTCAGCACTCTCCGAACGCTGCAAGTTCCAGCGCACAGGATATCCTGCCCGTTCAGATAAGCCAAGTATGTGCAACTCTTGGCATATTCTGTGCATGATCTAACTGCTGTAGGATCCTTTATCACTCGTCGTTCCTGCTCCCAAATCAGACCCTGACCAGTCTGCCAATTCAGGCACTGCAAAGGTAAGATAGTTCTTATCTCTTTACATAATGTACTGAGTTCCATCATCAGGTCGAACTACTTGATCCAAAGTTGAAAGAAAGAATCGCCGACGCCACCAGGCATATGGCGGACAGGAAGAATATCTCAGGAAAGGCCCAAAATATAGCTTCATCAGCCAGCTACCTACAATCCGTTCCCGGTGCAATCGACACGACGTCCAAGATTCTTGATTCCTTGAGGTTGTTCACCTCCGTCGCTGACGGACTTGCAAATGTACAGGCGCATATCTCTATTTTGTACATGACTGACCTTCGTGTGCAGGTCCATCCCTATGTGCAGGCGGTATTGAGTATATTCACCTGCGCGTCCAAGGTCTGCTTGTTTTCATATTCTCACATTTCGCAGGTTGTTAAGAATGTGACAGATGATTCTCGATCAAGCAGCCTGCGATGTCGCTGTTAACGATCTGCTCGCGAAGATATCAGACGTCTATGCTTTATTGACGGAAGGGGGGGAGACTTTGGCCAAGATTACGTCCAAGCTAGAGATATGCGGAAAGATCGCGCGGCAAACGCTAGAGTGTGCCGACTTTATCGTCCATTACTCGGAGATGCAGAGTTTCTGTGAGTTATGCCCACCGCTTTGTCGCCCAAGACTCAATCTCTCCGTATAGGGAAAAGACTTTGCAAGAACATCTTCAATGAAACAGGGGCTGTGATTCAAGGCTACAACAATGCTCTCGACAATCTCATGCAGCAGTTCCGAGATCAAGTGGCTCTTCGCAATGCTGCAACTCTTGACCGTCTCGGTAAGCGTTGGCTTTAAGTCTCTCATCTCTTCTCTGACATTTAATGGCCATTGATCCAGCCGAGGACCTGGACATTAGCAGCATGGAGTGTGTGGCTGGTGCGGGACGGAATACCTCCAAAAATTGTCTGCCAGGCACTCGGGAAGATATTCTGTCCGAGATCAAGTGCTGGATCCGCAGCACCGGGGAGGACGTGCCACGCGTCTTGTGGTTGTCTGGTACTGCAGGCAAAGGCAAATCAGCCATCGCGCATACGATTGCCAACTGGGCTCATGAGCGCGGGGGGATGCGAGCTTGTTTCTGCTTCGACCGCACAAGGGAAGCTGAAAATCGCCACGAAAAGATGTTTACGACGATTGCACGCGACTTAGCTCGTTGCGATCTTATCGCGCGGGGAGCATTAGCGCGTGTGGTCTATGATGATGAAGAGCTCAAGGATACCATAGACATCTCACGACAATGGCAGGAGTTAGTCGTAGGACCCATTAGCGAGGCCTCGAAAGCCATCACTGCACCCGTCCTAATGGTGATTGATGCATTGGACGAGAGTGGTAAAGCCAAATCCCGGGCAGGGATTCTTCGTGTGCTTGCAGGCGATCCGAACGCTTCTTCCCCCCAACAATGCCACCTTCCAGCAAACTTCCGCGTCATCGTCACTTCCCGCCCACTCGAAGACATCGCAGATGCCCTGCAACCCGCATCACATGTCCGTCATATTTCTTTGGATGATATCCCGCTCGAGGTCACAAAACATGATATTGAAATTTACATCTCCGCCATGTTAAAAGGTTCGCGCAGCGCATTCAACGCGGAGCACTTCAAGGCCCTTGCTCAGAAATCTGACGGCATGTTTGAATGGGCTCGTCTTGCGTCCGAGTATATCAAGGGGATGAATAGAGTGCGGCGAAATCCGATGAGCCGTTTCGAAGCCGTGGTCAATACAACATCCGCAACAGGAACGCATCTATTGGACGATATGTACATACGCATTTTAGCAGACAGCATGCCCGACAACGAGCGCGTGGAAGCGATGCCCGTGTTCCGCTCTGTGATGGGGCAAATCATTGGATCATTAGAACCGCTTTCCATGGCTGCGTTAACCGCGATGCGACTGCATTTTCCACGCGCGGACGACCGTTACGATGTGGAAGAAGTCATTAGGCCATTGGGCTTCACTTGTCAGCGGAATCACAGATTCTCAGACACCCATTCGTCCCCTCCACGCTTCCTTCTACGACTTTCTCACAAACGAATCGCGCAGCCACAACTTCTTCATCGATTCATCATCTGTACACATCAACCTTGCATTTGCCTCGCTTGGGGTCATGGATCATGGCCTTCGCTTCAACATCTGCTCCTTGGAGAGCTCTTACCTGCCCAATTCCGCCGTCCCTGGCCTGGAGAAACGAGTAAAAGAGTCCATTCCGACTGAACTGTCTTATGCATGTCGATTCTGGGGGACTCATGCGACAGCTACGTCCTTTGAACCATTGATGGCTAAGGAAGTCGGATCATTCTTCGACGGAGAGCGCCTCCTTTGGTGGTTGGAAGCATTATCTCTGATGAAAAGCTTCGGCGGCTCGGTGGGGTGCCTCTTGTCTATCGCAGACTGGTTTACGGTATGTGGCTCCAGCTCGTTCTAAATACCAATGGATTCTTACGAGTAGTGGGATGGTCGTAGGGTCATGCCGAGTATACGCATATCAGTGACGCTGCCAGGGACACCCTACGATTCATTCGAACTTTCGCATCCACCATTCTTCACAGCACCCCGCACCTATACTTGTCCGCTTTACCAGTTCGCTCCCACCCAGTCGATAATATTCACAAAGTTCGCCGCAAAGTTTCCTTGCACTCCCCGCATTGTTGCTGGCCATGTCGCAAGGTGGCCTCAGATGGAAAAGATACTCCATGGGCGTGCGGCGGTGTACTCGATTGCGATGTCACCAGACGGAAAACGCATCGTCTGTGGTTTAGACGACGGAACTATCCAGGTGTGGGATATGGAGACTGGTGAGGCATTGGGTGCCCCTCTTCAAGGCCACACTTTCTCTGTTACGTCTGTCGCATTCTCGTCAGATGGAACACGCATTGTGTCAGGATCATTTGACTACACAGTCCGGGTGTGGGATGCGGCGACTGGCAAGGCATTGGGCACCCCTCTCCATGGGCACACTGGATGGGTTCGGTCCATCGCAATCTCATGTGATGGGAAATGCATTGTGTCTTGTTCAGATGACGAGACAGTTCGGGTGTGGGATATGGAGACTGGCAAGGCATTGCATGCCCCCCTCCGAGGGCACACTCGTGAGGTTATGTCTGTCGCAATCTCGCTGGATGGGAAGCGCATCGTGTCCGGCTCTCGAGACACCACAATCCGGGTGTGGGATATGGAGTCTGGCGAGGCGGTGGGTGTCCCTCTCCAAGGCCACACCGACCGGGTTAACTCTGTCGCAATCTCACCCGACGGAACTCGCATTGTATCTGGCTCTGACGACGAGACCATCCGAGTGTGGGATATGGAGACTGGCAAGGAATCAGGTGCCCCTCTCCAAGGCCACACTAACTCTGTTGAGTCAGTTGTGGTCTCGTCAGATGGAAATCACATTGTGTCCGGTTCAAATGACCAGACAATCCGAGTGTGGGATGTAGAAACCGGCGTGGAAATAGGATCCCCTCTCCAAGGCCACACTGACCCTGTTCGATCAGTCACAATCTCGCCAAATGGAAATCGCATAGTATCGGGTTCGGAGGACAAAACAATTCGGGTGTGGGATGTGGAAATTAGTACTGGCGGAGCATCGGGTGCCGCTCTCCAAGGTCACGCCGCATCCATCAACAGTGTTGCGATCTCGCCAGATGGTCATCTCATCGTGTCCGGTTCAGATGACAACACTGTCCGCATGTGGAATATGAGGACTGGTGAGGTATTGGGTGCCCCTCTCCTTGGGCACACTGACTTTGTTCAGTCGGTAGCAATCTCGCCGGATGGAAGTCGCATTGTGTCTGGCTCGGGTGACGAAACCATCCGGGTTTGGAATGGAGAGACTGGAGAGGCATCAGGTGTCCCCCTCCAAAGGCACACTGGCGTGGTTCAGTGTGTTGCAATCTCGTCAGATGGAAATCGCATAGTATCGGGTTCGTGGGACAACACAATTTCGGTGTCAGACATGGAGATCAGCAAGGTCTTGGATGCCCCTCTCAAAGGGCATACTGACTGGGTTCAGTCTGTCACAATTTCGCTGGATGCGAAATACATTGTGTCCGGTTCAAATGACCGCACAATTCGGGTATGGGATATGGGGACTGGTGACGCATTGCATACTCTCCGGGGGCATACTGACCATGTCTACTCTGTCGCAATCTCGCCGGATGGACATCGCATTGTGTCTAGCTCACTTGATAAGACTATCCGAGTTTGGGATATGGGGACTGGTGATGCATTAGGCGCCCCTCTCGAAGGCCACACTGACTCTGTTCAATCTGTTATCATCTCGCCGGATGGGAAACTCATTGTGTCTGGTTCAGACGACAAAATGATCCGGGTGTGGGATATGGAGACCGGCAAGCCATTGGGTGCCCCTCTCGGAGGGCATACGGGTGCTGTTTTTTCTGTCGCAATTTCACCCGATGGCAACCGCATTGTGTCTGGCTCATCCGACCAGACCATCCGGGTGTGGGATTTAGAGTTTCTTTACCAGCACTCCTTCCAAGCACCTGCAGTTCGTTTCTCACCGCACCTGGATCATGCTCTTCTTTCTGCCTCCTCATTCCTCCAAGATTCCTCTGCCCCAGCCTCTCTTGCCCCAACCGAGGAAGGATGGATTGTAGGTCCCGACGGACGACTTCTCCTCTGTATCCCACTCGTTTTCCACCCAGTGATGTATGCCCCAGGTAACACGCTGGTGATACCCAACAATGCCTTGCTGCTGGACTTGAGCTGTCTCGCACATGGCATGTCATGGCACAAGTGTCGGGAATCAAAGGCCGCCCTGTCTTTATGATAGTGTGTTCTCCCTTGTAGGTTCCGCCTTTGATACATATTACATATACTAGTACGTGCAGATCGATGTACATTCTACGCAGAATTTGTTCGCTGTTCCTTGATTCACGGCTTTCACCTATACTTCTTCCGTTCTGGCCTACCGCAACGAGTTCCCCCGCTCTTATAAGAGGTCGTTTGGGGCATTCACAAGGCTTACATTCGCTATCACGAAACATTGTATATTTGCTACCTGCATTTGTCATAGTACGATTAATGTTTACTGTACTGGCTAGATTGCCCACCGTGCAAGGTAGAATTCAAATGTGGCTCGCTTGACTAGGGTAGTCATCCAGGACTCAGGGGGAGGTCAATACCTAGGACGAACGGCGTTCTAGGAGTCGATGAGTGTGTGGACGTTCGTGATAACCCTTGTAGCACCGTAATGTAGGATATGGTCAGGATGGTAAATTCAGTTCGTCGAAAACGTTCATGATTCAACGAATTCATATTTAAATTCCGGTTCTAGACCGCTATTCCTTAGAGCATCCCTCTGCAATACGTATCGAGCTTTGCTATCCAGTATGTGACCGATACAACATGTATGCCAGCGTACAATCCCTGTTATTCACCATCTTCCATACCCCAAAAAATATGTTGCTATTGCCCTCATCCAGGGTATACGTGCGTGCCATTGTACTGTACTGTCCACCATTAATTGTACATGTCATATACTACACCATGGGCGCAAAACCAGGAGCAGCTACCTTAGTTTTAATAGCTGAGCGTCTCCATGATCCCATCCAATATCCTGATCGAATCCGGCATGTTAAACTTCTCGAACTGCAGTGCAGCTGGGACGCTAAACGAAAACAAACCAACGTCATCAGAACCCGCTCCGACAAAACAGAAGAGAGAGAATAAAACAAGGGAAGAGCAGAAATCAGGGGAGAAGACACTCACTCCCACCCAGTAAATCTCCTCACAGGCGCCTCCAACCTCAAAAGCGCCCTCTTCCCAATCTCAGCAGCAATCTCACCCCCAACACCACCCGTCATCCCCGCCTCATGCACGATCACGAGCCTCTTTGTCCTACGCACACTTTGTACGACGGTTTCTACATCCCACGGTAATATCGTCTGCAGATCGATCAGTTCGACTTTTGCATTGCGTAGGGAGGCTGGGACGAGTGGGGCGAGGGTGGGTGATGGGCTTTTGAGGAGATGGAGTGCGGCTTCGCAGTGGTAGACGGGGGTGCCCCATGTGAGAGGTGTCATGTCTGATCTGGGGATGAGGGTTTCGGCGCGGGACAGGGGGAGGGTGTAGTCATCGATTGGGACCTGTTCGACTGTGTGAGAGGTTAATGTTAATATTTGTCCGTACGGGATGGTTTGGGGGGACTGTACCTGCGGAACGATAAAGGATCTCGGGGTCCATGAATACGACTAGGTCGCGGTCGCGGATGGCTGAGAGGAGGAAGCCTTTGCATTGGATTGGGGAGCAGGGGATGACAATCTAGCTGTGTTTGTGTGCATTTAGATGGGATTGTAGTATGACAGGAGAGACTGACCTTGAGATCACTTCCGCCCATAAAGTACCCTTCTGGACTCTACGAGTGACATGGCCCACGGCCATGGTCGGGGTGCGCACGGTTAGCCTGCCAATAGCGAAACCTCCGTAACCTGAGTGGTAGCGAAACTTAACGGCTTCGTTCACGAGCTACGCAGAAACGTTGAAGGTGAATTTTGAAGTTGAAAAGAATATGGCTAACCTGGTCAAATGCGGGGAATATATAGTCAGCGAACTGGATCTCTGCAATAGTTGTATGTCCTATGGACGCAAGGACGATTCCGAAGCCTGCAATGCCTTGCTCTGTCAGTGTGGTATTGAAGACGCGTTCGCGACCTGCAGCGCGATCAGTTATGGATATGATGTAGTATAGAATAAAAGCACACCAGATTCTTCTCCAAGACCCTATTCAATGCGTCAGCACAAATTACATACGAAATAATGGGGTGCGTACCATCGTACACTTGAACACCCCGCCAAACGCTATGTCCTCACCAAATACGACTATGGTATCATCCTTTGCAAGTGCAATACTGATGTGGTCAGCATGCGTTCCGCGCAGAAGAAAACTGGGTTGCCTGAGCGCATCCCGCACAGCTTGATAGAGATTCATCTTGCAAGTCTCGCAGCCGCCGACGATGTTGCGGTCGGGCTCCTCATCTTGCCATATTAGTCCTGGTGTTCTGAGCACAGATTCTCTAGTTATGCGGAGAAGCTTAGAGGCTGCAACAGGTAATGAACGGGTGCCTGCAGGTAGGGGTTCAACGGTGGTGCTCGCTGTTGTCTGTTAGCAACGAGACTGGTCTGAATAAGTAAAATGAACTCGGATGGAGAAGGCGAGACTTACTAGTGTTGGCAGTGTAGAGCGCAGACGTCCAGCGAGCATTGATATTGAGGATGAAGCTTCGATGAAGGTCAAGGAGAAACAAGAGCCGTGGTTTGTACACTAGTCAGTAACATGTTATATCATAGTCGGTGAGGATCTGAAAGTGTAGTGAGAGGACACCATAGAAAGTGAACCCAAGTGATCAATCGATCACTGATCGTGGTCAGGGTAAATTGGACGCGCTGCACGTGACCGTGTTTGATCAAGTCTTCCCGCTCACCTATGAAGGACTCCCAACTTTGAACTCACCACCGCAAGCTTATCCACGGCTGCTCTCTATAATGGCCCAGATTTCACCATTCTTTTCAGCATGCTTCTGCAGGACATGGTCGCATCGATCTTTGCAATCCAGTATCGAGGACCTGATAGATGAAGGTGTCCGTAGTATAGCTGTTGCGTGCGTTTGAGCGTCGAGCGGAATCGGTGGGCGGAATACTTGATTCTGATGGTGCGTGTACTTGCATTTCTTACTGACACGCTCGCTGAATAACCTCTACATCGATCAGTTACACCTTCCGAGAAATGCCTCAAGTGCTGCTTCGAGACCGGCAACGTACGATGCGACTTAGATTGTCTAAGGCGTTTAACTCCGTCACTAACCAAATTGCAGATTAAAATTCTGGTTGTTTGAGGCTGGTGTTGACACGCGCTGCACGCGGCCGCGTTCAGACTTAGTTTCATCACCCCTTGGTCCCGTAATCTGTTGGTGCCAACCTTCTTAGTCCAGTTGATTATATCCTTCATCTAGTCTTCAGGAAGATGTCGCACACATCAAAATCTTGTGGAAATGGAACCTATTTCGACTTCTCGCTCCACGGCGTCCAGTACAGATTCTCACAGTTAAAAGGCTTTACGGGACTTACAGGCTGCAAGAAGATCTGAAGAATTATCCGAGCCTATTCTCAGAACCTCAATAATGTTGTAAGTCTGTGGTAGGGTGTATGCGGTCCCAGTGACTTCGTGCCTGCAGGTCCGAAGCAATCATATCATCACCAGTACTTCATCGATAGCAGACTGAAGCTTTAACAGCATCTATTGCATATTCATGGGGCACGTCATGACATGTCGTCTACATACATGGTGTGGGGACGCACTGGTTCACAGCACAGCTTCGCTGGCATCAGAAGTGCAGTAGGTCATATCAGCGTTGGCAGTGCGCCTGGGCTACATGGTAAGTTTCTTTGCTACTCCACACAGCCATGGGGTCTGATGTCGTGCAAGTGCACGTTGTAGCGGTGGGTTTTGGCCCAGGCGGGCTTTGACTCGTTCCCCTCCTTATCGCTGAGGTTGCATACTCTTCCCATCGTGGTCAAGCGATTGAGCTATAACTCATCATGGTGAGCAATTTTGGTGATGATTTTAGTGATTACACGAGGTCGTGTTCTATCATCATCATCATCATCATCATCCTTCAGGTACCTTAGATTTATTGCGTAAGACTTTTGCAACATAAGCTTCGATTTCATCCCAGCTCACAAGTTGCCATCACGTAGCATGGCATAGACTGTTAGTTTCTTTTATTCGAAGGAAAAGTAAATCAAATGATCTTTTGATGGTGACGAAGGAATGGCCCAGATTCGTGAAAAGGCTTCTGCACATGTATGCCTCACGCACCGCATAGACAAGATAGCAGTGAAGTTCGAGTCTGAAGTCATTAACTAGCAGAATCCATACGAGGCGTATTGGGAACTCATCAAAGATTTGATCTACTCTTTTATCGCTTGACAGTAACCGTTTTCGCATGTAGTACCACTTATAGTCGCTAGTGGCTGAAGGCGACACACACCAAGATGGTCAAAAAACGATGTGATTATATGCTTGCGAGACATGTGCGCGTACATCCCTTGAACTGTAAATCTACGTATCGCAATCCTGCAGAATCTGTACAATCTTCGTCCATGTCCTTCCTTCCTCGGTTCAAATCTTTCACTCACGTCAGGCCTATTAGATGCTTGTTCGATGTGAAGACTTGATGTGCTGGAATTGTGTCTTGGGATGGCAGATCGTATGGACAGGAGGATCGTACGAGGTTCCAAGCGTGTCCATGGTAACCTGGCTACTGATGACAGTTGAAAGGCGGTAGTGCATCGAGGGTCCAGGCGGCGTCTGAGATCCGAGTGCGATCCGAATGAAGAACAAGTTCAAGAGAGCCAAGACGCGCTCTATGGCAAAGCAAGAGACCTGAAAACAAATGTGTTGCAGTTTGGTAGAACTGGTGCCGAGAGATTGGGATTCGTAGTGATACATCTCCACGGATACGTTCGACTGTTTAACCTCTTCCCATCAGAATGCACAATAAAATTATTGATTCGTTAGAGGCATCAACACGTACAAAAGCCTGCCGAATATTGTCTTGCATCCAATGTGGGATCACCTGAATGTCAGAAGACATCCGAAAGTAAAACCAGCTTCCCAAGACCCAAACAAGACGTGCAGCCTCCGCGTTCTCCCGGTGAGATCAAACAAGGGTCTGAATGTCTTGATCCAAGCGCAAGGATATTCGGATATGATTCTGAAGGCACCGCCATGGTCATGATGAGTAGATGGAATCCGTGAAGTTGTTGGATCGCCCAGAGAGTCAAGGAAGGAGGGTTTCAGAGGGGGTGAATGTTGGTGGTGATGGCCGGTTCGCATGTCCGCAAAGGCAATCTGCACTGATGTTCGGTAGGAGGTGAGGAACCAAAGTTCCGATCGAACTCGGCAGGTCCTTGAAAACAGGAAATGCAACAGAGTATTGTGGTGGGTAACCGCGTCGACATGTCGCTAACAATGACGCCCGGTGGTGGGGAAGGTTGATATTGGTGGGGGCGAAAGTCTGTGGATACATAAACCATTGATCAGTCTGACTTGATTTGTGTAATTTGTTTCGTGTAAACAGGAATGTAGAAAAAGTATGATACAAGACGACTGACGGGATTGTAAAATCATAACAGACGTTATGATGCGGCTGTCGGCATTCCAGTCGTGGCAAGACTTGATGTAGTGTGGGTGCATTACTATTGGTTCGGGTGGACGAAGAGGAGGTCAAAGCAGGTTATGGCAGGGATGCGAAGCTGGATGATGATGGGGTTGTGGGGACGAAGAATTGGTGATGCCTGATTCAGATAGCTATCCAGGCGGCTCGACTTCTTTCCAGAGTGCAGTAGCGTCCATCGTCACGTCGCAACCACGTGCTCAGACTTGGAGAGTTGATAGATAGAGAGTGTCATCGACTAAATCAAGGCGTGAAGTTGCATGATTGAGATGTGAGAAAGTTGAAGAGTTTGAGAGACTTAGGGTTAGGGACATAGAATTAGTATGATCACTGCTGCAGGGTCATTGAGCCCGCACGGAGACCTAGCAGAGCCCTCACCCGCAGCAGTCAAATACAATCAATTGAGATTTCCCAGGGCGCTCTTTGGTGCTCAGGGACCTAGCCACGCAAGTTAACAGTGAAAGTGTCCGCATAATACGGAGCCGTGCGTAGTGCGTGTATCGGTGACTGGAATGAGCGGGCGCCCAATCTATGGTGGCTGTGCCGCAATGTTCGAAGAAAGCGGAATAATATATGAGAACAACCAAGCCTCAGTCACTGCTAGTAGTGACTGCGCGTCGCTGGGAGTGATAGACTAATGTCAATTTTCATATCTACGACTCCTTGATAATTCAAAGGTTCAAGCGATATTTGCATGCTATCCATGTCAATGAAGTCCAGCCCATTGCGATCAGCGCTTCCAAACGCATGTTCGTTAGCTAAATTTATCTGATCGGTTCAATGCGAACATGCAGCAGGCGCTTGTCAACCCTCGTCCCATCCACCACCCTCTTACCCCTCCTTTTTGCACCTAGAGACTCTTTGAACTCAGATTCAGCTGTTCGATGAAGAAAAGGTTCACGCGTCTGCTGAAGGGAAGCAGCTCAAACCCTGATTTGCCTGTGGCCGGTGGAAGTCAGGTATTGCACATCGCACTCACATCTGTTGGTTGTGTGTGACGGTGTCGTTCCAGCTGTCTCCACCTTCGGGCGATAGATCTCACAGAGGACTTTCGAAGTTCCATCCCAAATCCTGGCGCAAGTCGACCAACCCTTCCGCTCTAAGCGCTCAACACTCTCCGAACCCTGCAAGTTCCAGCGCACAGGATCTCCTGCCCGCTCGGATAGGCCAAGTATGTACAACCCTCGTCATGTCCCATGTATGATTGATCTAATTGCCGTAGGATCCTTTACCACTCGTCGTTCCTGCTCCCAAATCAGATCCTGACCAGTCTGCCAATTCGAGCACTGCAAAAGTAAGATAGTTCTTATCTCTCTACATAATGTACTGAGTTCCATCATCAGGTCGAACTACTTGATCCAAAGTTGAAAGAAAGAATCGCCGACGCCACCAGGGGTGAGGGGGACATGAAGAATATCTCAGGAGTGACCCGAAATATAGCTTCATCAAACAACCACCTACAATCCGTTCCCAGTGCGATCGACACGACGTCCAAGATTCTTGATTCCTTGAGGTTGTTCACCTCCGTCGCTGACGGACTTGCAAATGTACAGGCGTCATATCTCTATTCTGTACAAGACTGACCTTCCTGTGTAGGTCCATCCATATGTGCAGGCGGTATTGAGTATATTTACCAGCGCGTCCAAGGTGTGCTTGTTTTCATATTCTCACATCTCGCAGGTTATTAAGAATGTGGCAGATGATTCTCGATCAGGCAGACCGCGATGCCGCTGTTAACGATCTACTCGCGAAGATATCAGACGTTTATGCTTTATTGACAGAAGGCGAGGAGAAATTGATATTGGCCAGGATTACATCCAAGCTAGAGATATGCGGAAAGATTGCACGACAAACACTAGAGTGTGCCAACTTCATCGTCCGTTACTCGGAGACGAAGAGTTTCTGTGAGTTGTTCCCACCGCTTTGTCGTCCAAGACTCAGTCTCTTTGTATAGGGACAAGACTTGGCAAGAACGTATTCGATGAAACAGGGGCCAAGATTCAAACCTACAACAAATCTCTCGACAATCTCATGCTGCAGTTTGGACATCAAGTTGCTCTTGGCACCGCCATGGCTCTTGAACGTCTCGGTGAGTGTTGGCTTTAGGGTCTCTGAGCTCTTCTCTGACTTTGATGGCCGGTGACCCAGCCGAGGACCTGGACATTAGCGGCATGGTTTGTGCAGATCTCGCCGGACGAAATACCGGCAAGAATTGTCTCCCAGACACTCGGACAGACATTCTGTCCGAGATTAAGTACTGGATCTGCAGCACCGAGGAGGACGCGCCGCGCGTGTTATGGTTGTCTGGCACTGCAGGGAAAGGCAAATCAGCCATCGCGCATACGATCGCCAACTGGGCGTCTGAGGAACGCGGAGGTCTACGAGCATGTTTCTGCTTTGATCGTACGAGAGTTGTCGAACACCTCCATGAAAAGATATTCCCGACGATTGCACGCGACTTGGCCAATTGCGATGTTGCGATGCGGGGAGCATTGGCGGGTGCGATTCGTAAAGACCACCAGCTCAAGAACAGCAACGACATTTCAAGACAATGGCAAGAGTTAGTCGTAGGGCCAATCGGCAAGGCCTCGAAAGACATCACTGCACCCGTCCTGATGATCATTGATGCGTTGGACGAGAGCGGTAACGCCAAATTCCGGGAACAGATTCTTCGTGTGCTTGCTGGCGACCCGAATGCTTCTTCCCCCCAACAATGCCAACTCCCGCCAAACTCCCGCATCATCGTCACTTCCCGTCCACTCGAAGACATCGTAGATGCCCTGCAACCCACATCACATGTCCGTCACATCTCCTTGGATGGAATCCCGCTCGAGTCCACACAACGTGATATTGAGGTTTACATCTCCAGCGTGCTGAAAGGCCCGCGCAGCGCGTTCAACGCGGAGCACTTCAAGGCCCTTGCTCAAAAATCTGATGGCATGTTTGAATGGGCTCGTCTTGCGTGCGAGTATATCAAGGGTATGAACAAAGTGGGCGCGGATCCGATGGGCCGTTTCAAAGCTCTGACCACCGAAACATCTAAATCTCAAAAAGGAACGCATCTGTTGGATGATATGTATCTGCGGATTTTAGCAGACATCATGCCAGAGGACGAGGAAGCGATGACCGTATTTCGTTCTGTGATGGGGCAGATCGTTGCATCATTAGAACCACTTTCCATGGCTGCGTTGGCCGCGATGCGACTGCATTTTCCACCTGGTGATGACCGTTACAAAGTGGATTGGGTGGTTGGACCAATGGGCTCGCTTGTCGCCGGCACTACGGATTCTCAGACTCCCATACGTCCCCTCCATGCATCCTTCTATGACTTTCTCACAGACAAATCGCGCAGTCACGACTTCTTTGTTGATACATCATCGGTACAGACCAACCTTGCCTTTGCCTCGCTTGGGGTCATGGAGAGCGGACTTCACTTCAACATCTGCTCCTTAGAAAGTTCCTACCTGTCCAATTCCGCCGTCCCTGACCTGGAGAAACGAGTAAAAGAGTCCATTCCGACTGAACTATCTTACGCATGTCGATTCTGGGGGGCTCATGCGACAGCTGCGTCCTTCGAACCATCGCTGGCTAAGGAAGTCGAATCTTTCTTCGACGGAGAGCGCCTCCTTTGGTGGTTGGAAGCATCATCTCTGATGAAAAGCTTCGGCGGCTCGGTGGGGTGCCTCTTGTCTATCGCAGACTGGTTTACGGTATGTGGCTCCAGCTCGTTCTAAATACCAATGGATTCTTACGAGTAGTGGGATGGTCATAGGGTCATGCCGAATATACGCATATCAGTGACGCTGCCAGGGACACCCTACGATTCATTCGAACTTTCGCATCCACCATTCTTCACAGCACCCCGCACCTATACTTGTCCGCTTTACCGTTCGCTCCAACCCAGTCGATAATATTCACAAAGTTCGCCGCAAGGTTCCCTTGCACTCCCCGCATTGTTGCTGGCCATGTCGCAAGGTGGCCTCAGATGGAAAAGATACTCCATGGGCGTGCGGCGGTGTACTCGATTGCGATGTCACCAGACGGAAAACGCATCGTCTGTGGTTTAGACGACGGAACTATCCAGGTGTGGGATATGGAGACTGGTGAGGCATTGGGTGCCCCTCTTCAAGGCCACACTTTCTCTGTTACGTCTGTCGCATTCTCGTCAGATGGAACACGCATTGTGTCAGGATCATTTGACTACACAGTCCGGGTGTGGGATGCGGCGACTGGCAAGGCATTGGGCACCCCTCTCCATGGGCACACTGGATGGGTTCGGTCCATCGCAATCTCATGTGATGGGAAATGCATTGTGTCTTGTTCAGATGACGAGACAGTTCGGGTGTGGGATATGGAGACTGGCAAGGCATTGCATGCCCCCCTCCGAGGGCACACTCGTGAGGTTATGTCTGTCGCAATCTCGCTGGATGGGAAGCGCATCGTGTCCGGCTCTCGAGACACCACAATCCGGGTGTGGGATATGGAGTCTGGCGAGGCGGTGGGTGTCCCTCTCCAAGGCCACACCGACCGGGTTAACTCTGTCGCAATCTCACCCGACGGAACTCGCATTGTATCTGGCTCTGACGACGAGACCATCCGAGTGTGGGATATGGAGACTGGCAAGGAATCAGGTGCCCCTCTCCAAGGCCACACTGGCCCCATTAAGTCAGTCGTAATCTCGTCAGATGGAAATCGCATTGTGTCCGGTTCATATGACCAAACAATCCGAGTGTGGGATGTAGAAACCGGCGTGGAAATAGGATCCCCTCTCCAAGGCCACACTGACCCTGTTCGATCAGTCACAATCTCGCCAATGGAAATCGCATAGTATCGGGTTCGGAGGACAAAACAATTCGGGTGTGGGATGTGGAAATTAGTACTGGCGGAGCATCGGGTGCCGCTCTCCAAGGTCACGCCGCATCCATCAACAGTGTTGCGATCTCGCCAGATGGTCATCTCATCGTGTCCGGTTCAGATGACAACACTGTCCGCATGTGGAATATGAGGACTGGTGAGGTATTGGGTGCCCCTCTCCTTGGGCACACTGACTTTGTTCAGTCGGTGGCAATCTCGCCGGATGGAAGTCGCATTGTGTCTGGCTCGGGTGACGAAACCATCCGGGTTTGGAATGGAGAGACTGGAGAGGCATCAGGTGTCCCCCTCCAAAGGCACACTGGCGTGGTTCAGTGTGTCGCAATCTCGTCAGATGGAAATCGCATAGTATCGGGTTCGTGGGACAACACAATTTCGGTGTCAGACATGGAGATCAGCAAGGTCTTGGATGCCCCTCTCAAAGGGCATACTGACTGGGTTCAGTCTGTCACAATTTCGCTGGATGCGAAATACATTGTGTCCGGTTCAAATGACCGCACAATTCGGGTATGGGATATGGGGACTGGTGACGCATTGCATACTCTCCAGGGGCATACTGACCATGTCTACTCTGTCGCAATCTCGCCGGATGGACATCGCATTGTGTCTGGCTCACGTGATCAGACTATCCGAGTTTGGGATATGGGGACTGGTGATGCATTAGGCGCCCCTCTCGAAGGCCACACTGACTCTGTTCAATCTGTTATCATCTCGCCGGATGGGAAACTCATTGTGTCTGGTTCAAGAGACAAAATGATCCGGGTGTGGGATATGGAGACCGGCAAGCCATTGGGTGCCCCTCTCAGAGGGCATACGGGTGCTGTTTTTTCTGTCGCAATTTCACCCGATGGCAACCGCATCGTGTCCGGCTCCTCCGACAAGACCATCCGGGTGTGGGACCTAGAGTTTCTCAACCAGCACTCCTTCAAAGCACCCGAAATGTGCTTCTCACGCAACTTGACACATGCTCTTCATTCCGCCTCCTCATTCCTCCAAGATTCTTCCACCTCAGCCTCTCTTACCCTGGACAAGGAGGGATGGGTTGTAGGTTCTGATGGACGGCTTCTCCTCTGTATCCCACTCGTTTTCCACCCGGTGATGTATGCCCCAGGCAACATGCTGGTGATACCCAACAATGCATTGTCGCTGGACTTAAGCTGTCTCGCACACGGCACGTCATGGTACAAGTGTCGGGAATCAAAGGCTGCCCTGTCTTCGTGATAGTACGTTCTCCCTCATAGGTTGTGCCTTTGATACATATTATATATGGTAGTACATGCAGATCTATGCACATTCTACGCAGAATTTGTCCGCTGTTTCTTGATTCACGCCTTTCACATATATTTCTTCCGTTCTGGCCTACTGCAACGAGTTCCCCCGGTCTTATAAGAAGTCGTTTTGGGCATTCACAAGGATTACATTCGCTCTCATGAAACATTGTATATTTGCTACCTGCATTTGCCATACTACGATCAATGTTTACTGTACTGGCTAGATTGTCCACCTTGCAAGGTAGGATTCAAATATGGCCCGCTTGACTAGGGCGGTCATCCAGGCCACGGGGGGAGGTCAATACCTGGGACGAACGGCGTTCTAGGCGTCGCTGAGCACGCGGATGTTCCTTGATAGCAGTAGTTGCACTTGTAGCACCGCAATGTAAGATATAGTCAGGATGGTAAATCCAGTTCGTCGAAAACGTCCATGATTCAATGAATTCAGATTTAAATTCCGGTTCAAGACCGCTATTCCTTAGAGCATCCCTCTGCAATACATATCGAGCTTTGCTATCCAGTATGCGACCGATGCAATATGTAGGCCAGCGTACAATCCCTGTTATTCAATGTCTTCCATACCCCAAAAAACATGTTGCTATTGCCCTCATCCAGGGTATACGTGCGTGCTACTGTACTGTACTGTCCACCATTAATTGTACATGTCCTATGCTACACCATGGGCGCAAAACCAGGAGCAGCTATCTTAGTTTTAATAGCTGAGCGTCTCCATAATCCCATCCAATATCCTGATCGAATCCGGCATGTTAAACTTCTCGAACTGCAGCGCAGCTGGGACGCTAAACGAAAACAAACCAACGCCATCAGAACCCGCTCCGACAAAATAGAAGAGAGAGAATAAAACAAGGGAAGAGAAGAAATTAGGGGAGAAGACACTCACTCCCACCCAGTAATCCTCCTCACAGGCGCCTCCAACCTCAAGAACGCCCTCTTCCCAATCTCAGCAGCAATCTCTCCCCCAACACCACCCGTCATCCCCGCCTCATGCACGATCACGAGCCTCTTTGTCCTACGCACACTTTCTACCACCGTCTCTACATCCCATGGTAATATCGTCCGCAGATCGATCAGTTCGACTTTTGCATTGCGTAGGGAGGCCGGAATGAGTGGGATGAGGGAGGGTGGTGGGTTGTTGAGGAGTTGGAGTGCAGCTTCGCAGTGGTAGACGGGGGTGCCCCACGTGAGAAGTGTCAGGTCTGATCCGGGGATGAGGGTTTCGGCGCGGGAGAGGGGGAGGGCATAGTCATCAATTGGGACTTGTTCGACTGTGGGTGATATTAGTGGGTGTGTATGGGACGGTTTCAAGGGGAAGTACCTGCAGAACGATAGAGGATCTTGGGTTCCATGAATATTACTGGGTCGGGATCGCGGATAGCTGAGAGGAGGAGGCCTTTGCATTGGATTGGGGAGCGAGGGATGACAATCTAGCGGTGCGTGTGTGCATTTACATTTCTTGATCGCAGGAGAGCGACTGACCTTGAGACCACTTGCGCCCATGAAGTACCCTTCTGGACTCTGCGAGTGATATAACCCACCATGGCCCACAGCCATGGTCGGGGTGCGCACGGTTAGCCCGCCAATAGAGAAGCTTCCACCTGATCGGTAGCGAAACTTTGCAGCTTCGTTCACGAGCTATGTAGAATGTTAAGTCCATGTTGAAAGGAGTGGATGGAATGCAACTAACCTGGTCAAATGCGGGGAATATGTAGTCAGCGAACTGGATCTCTGCGATAGCTGTATGCCCCATGGACGCAAGACCAATTCCGAAGCCCGCAATTCCTTGTTCGGTCAATGGGGTATTGAAGACGCGTTCGCGACCTGCAGCACGATCGGTTATAGATATGATGTGATATACAATGAAAACATACCAAATTCTTCTGCAAGACCCTGTTCAATGCGTGAGGACAAATAAAGTATGAAATGATGGGGTGCATACCATCGTACACCTAAACACCCCGCCAAACGCTATATCCTCGCCAAATATGACTGCGGTATCATCCTTCGCAAGTGCGATACTGATTTCGTCAACACACCTTCCACACACAGAAGAAAATGGGTTACCTGAGTGCGTCCCGCACAGCTTGATAGAGATTCATCTTGCGGGTCTCGCGGCCGCCGACGATGTTGCGGTCAGACTCCTCATCTTGCCATGTTATTCCTGGTGTTCTGAGCGCAGATTCTCTAGTTATGCGGAGAAGCTTAGAGGCTGCGACAGATGATGAATGGCCGCTCGCGGGTGGGGGTTCTACGGTGGTGCTCGCTGTCGTCTGCCAGCGACGAGACTGGTTTGAATAAGTAAAATGAACTCGGATGGAGAAGGCGTCGAGACTTACTAGTGTTGGCAGGGTAGAGCGCAGACGTCCAGCGAGCATTGATATTGAAGATGAAGCTTAAGCTTCGATGAAGGTCAAGGAGAAACAAGATCCGTGGTTTGTACACTAGTCATTAACATGTTGCATAATAGCCGGTGGGGATCCGAAAGTCAAGTAATGATCGGAATGGATCATTCCTACTTGCCAAATGGGGAACGGGCCGTTGCCGTGCCGCAATTTACCTTCAACCAACTTTGACTTCAACGCTGGCCTAACGCTGGCCTGACTTTGAGGGTCGGGAAGCCCGCATTCTTATGATTGTGGCAGCAGTTTTAGCTTGTCTGATTTTGCTTTTCAGAATCCGAATAAGAGATCGGAGCTCGAAGGACTCAGGTTGGAACTGAACTGCACCTTGATACTGGCAGAGCCTTGGCACTCCCGGAACATGCTCAGCGAGTTCACCACGCCCGCATGATACAGTGTACCTCCCATATAAATAGGTGCAGGTCGAAGCGCCCATCTTATCAAGCTCGACGCTTCTCCGTTAAGGACGGAACTTCAAGGAAGCCCATCACTGTAGTATCCACTTATTAGACTACTAACATACGTATTATCTAACCCCGCTGCATGACATTTTCGATGTATTTACGACCATGGTAGTTACATATCGCAAGTAAACTTGAAGCAGGACATTGCGTGCGGCCGTGTGCGGCAGAACACGTATGAATTTCTCAAGGCCATCCCAAATGTAGAACTTGTAATCTAAGACCCTTCATTAGGATTTCAAGAAGGTAACGAGGATGGAGAGCGACAGCGCATTCGTTGCTCCAGAGGGCGTCTACTCTGTCACTGAAGAACACAAGCCTCTCCCAGTCCCAACCCACTCTTCAACCGCAGCAAACCCCGTATACCAAACTCGCCTTAGCTCAATCACAGTTCGGTTTCCCCAGAAACATCCAGCTTCACCAGGTCTCGCTCAGTTCCTTGGTGCGAACCTTGCAAAGGATCTTAAGAAGGAAAAGGACAAGGAGAGGGATGTAGTGGTGAAAGAGCGCCTATTGCTCGAGGAGCGGAGCATGTCATCCAGCGATACCCCAGAAGATAGCTTCACATCTCCAGATGTACTAGCTACCCCAGACCTCACCCCTTCCACACCAGCAGAACACCAGCACAAGCTCTTCTCCCACCCTTCCGTCTCAGCAGGTAAGAAGAAATCCACCGCATCACGGCCCAAACACAACATGCGCACCACCTCTTCCACTTTCATCACCCGTCTCCAGAGCGTAGAAGGTCTCAGCAAGACCCTCGCAGCTAAACAGGGTGATGTCACCTTCTTGTTCTATAACACAGGCAAAGCTTTCTTGTGGATCGAGGTGGGAGCCAAAGCCAAGGTACGTCGTCTGATACTTGACTGCGCAGAGGCTGCATAATTCTAGCAGGAACCACTGACGAGGATTAGCTTCTCTGCACACCCGACATGTCACGACGTAAACCCCTCCACTGCATCCTCAGAACGAATGGATGTTATCATAGGATTCAACACAGGAGACCTCATATGGTTTGGTATGCATCCCATCCCACGCCTTTTCTTATGCTCACAATGACCAGACCCCATATCAAGCCGCTACTGTCGCCTTAACAAACAGGTAGTCAATCCCTCTTCTATTGTATACGCATCTAACAAGAACCCCAGGGTACCATCTCCTCCTCCATCTGCACAGCCGTCCGTTGGGTCCCATCTTCCCCAACCCTCTTCCTCGTCTCCCATGCAGACGGAACAATCATCGTATACGACAAGGAGCGTGAAGATGGCTTGTTCACGGCTAATATTCCCAATGGACCGACTAATACCCCCCATATAAATGTCAATGCGAACGCACACGCAGCTCCTGCAGGTGATGAATGGGACCCACTATCAACAATGTTTGTCACACCTCCGCCGTGGCATCCAGAAGCTTCTGGGAGGGGAGAGAAGGGCGTGGTGGCGAAGAACCCTGTGAGTCATTGGCGTCTGAGTCGGCGTGGTGTTGTTGGTGAGTGAGGTTTTTCAATACTCGTGCGACTGGGAGCTCATTGGGGATAGACTTTGTATTCTCCCCTGATGTCAAATATGTCGCGGCAATTTCAGAAGATGGGTGTCTGAGGGTGATCGATCCACTTGCGGAGCAGTATGTGAATGTCTCCCCGTCGATTATTGAACAGAACGTCATATTTGCGATCCAGGCTGGTTGACTGCTACGCATCCTACTTCGGTGCTCTGACCTGTGTCGCTTGGTCACCTGATGGACGCTTCATTCTCGTGCGTTTTCTCCAGTTCACAAACTGTCCACCACTAATCGTCTACTCAACCAGACTGGCGGCCAAGACGACCTCCTCACGATTTTCTCCCCCTGGGAACAACGAGTCGTCGCACGATGCCAAGGACACTCCTCCTTCGTCTCAGCCGTAGCATTCGACGAGCTCCGGTGCGACGGGCGGACATACCGCTTCGGTAGCGTTGGAGAAGATAACAAGCTCATTCTCGTGCGTTCTTTACCACCTCTGAATAAATGAGCTGTCCGTGGACTGAATGAATATGACAGTGGGACTTTTCATCTGGCGCACTTCACCGCCCTAAACACCTCGGAGCACACCATCCGCGCATATCGATGTCGTCTAGTATTTCACTTGCTTATCGTCGGGGAACAGGGTCAACGATCCAACTCTCCGCAACACGTTATCACGCTGCGCCTTCAAGGAATGAAGTGTCAACTGTACAACCTGTATTGGTGGGTCTTCCTCTTCCCTTGTGAATGTAACTGACTAACTTATACTGCACGACAGATAAAACAACTCGACGCCGACCTCCTCACCTCCCTCGCATTCCTCCCTCGAGCGCTCTTAACAGCATCGAAAGCGGGACACGTCCGTTTGTGGGTGCGGCCGTTTGTGATGACCAACGCTAGTCCTAGGAGAAGAGGGCATGCGCGTGGGATGTTGTCTGTGACTGATTTCCAGAGGGTGGTCGCTTGATTTGTGTTCGTGATGGTTTGATTCGTTCGTGGTGATTGAGTAGGAAGTGGGAGGTGGGAGAAAGCAGAGGTGAAGATGTGAAGATGGACAGAGAGTCTAACTTATTTGTGGATTATGTATATCTGTAGATCTCGCATACAAGTATATGCACACGTACCAAGATTTATCGATACCGCCTAATTTCATCTTCCCTGACTGTCCCCCGTGAGGAAGAAAAGAGAGAGCCATCCAAGTTCCTAATCAAACATCACTCGACCTCTCCTCAAGATCCTCCGTCAAATCCCCAGCATCAGTACTAGCCGTCTCACCCTCATCCATATCTTCCATACTCGCATCTAGATCAGGTCCTGATTCGTCGTTTTCTTCGCCGTCTTCGTTGATGGAGGGTGCGCCGTTTGATTGGCCTGTGTCGGACCCTTCGGAGTCATCTTCTGCCTGCAAGGATTGGATGGGGGTGTAAGAACAAGCGAATGGATGGATGGAAGAAGGAGAAGGGACCCGCTACGCACCTCGTTTTTCTCTTCCAGCTGTGTTGTATGCCGCCCTATAGGGATGAGCCACTGAAATCCACGATTGCGTATCGCCAAGTTCTATTTCATCCATCAACGTCAAAATGTATATGCACCCAGTCAGCATCCTCTCGCAGAATGTACACGATGAAACGCAAGCACGTACAGCATCTTCCAACTCATTCTCCTCATCTGAAAGATCTTCGATTTCGCGTTGGAGATCGCGTCGGTTGTCCATGCGTCCGGGGTAGCGATCGAGTTTGGGGAGTGGGGTTGGGAGGACGAGGGGGGCGCGGGGAAGGACGAGGGGGAGGAGTGGAGGACGGGGAACGAGTGTTGGGGACGTGACGGGCATTTTGGTGGTGGTGTTGGTAGTGGTGGCGGAAGAAGCTTAAAGGTGCGTGTTTGATCTACCGTGACCTCGTACTACGATCTTGTCTTTCCGGTGAGCTACTCCAATTTTCTTCCACATCGAAGACGGCCCCACAGCCTACAGGAGCATAAACGCTCGCTGCATATATACACATATTATAAGGACGGAGCGCTTTCAATTCTACGTCAATAGAAAATGGTCGCTTTTCATTCTACTTCTACTTGGGCTGTTGACTGCAGGCCGAGTTATTCTCAAACGTGCGTCGCAGATCTACACGGCAACTTCACGATCGCGATCGTAGGAAGCCCTACAACTAGCAACGACGTACAGAATGTGATATTTCCCCGATACGTATGAACTGATTATGATCTAGATGCACGCCACTGTCAAAATTCTAAACGGATGGTCTAGCATGAATATGATGAACAATTAGATATCCCTGATCCTGTGCGGATGTAAATCGCAGGCCCGCTCAAATGCTTATTTCTCGGTTGCGAGCCAGGTGAAAACTTCTCTCGAAAGAATCACCGTCCTGTTTGGGGTGTGACAGTTCGGCGAACGCCGTCCCAGGCATGCTGACTTAAGCACGGACGGTCTCTTGTCGGTTGCCAGATGCGCTCGGAAAGTGAGTATAGCGTTTGCAATGCTGACGTGCCCGTCCCCCAGATCCCATTGCTTGCTGCCAAGCACGTCGCGGAGCATGTGCTTGCCTCCATCATCGACGACACAGTGCTCCAGCGCCCACAGCCCAACCCCTTCAGCTCACTCGTCACTCTCTCGAACGGTTCCAGCTCGGGTGCAGACCCGAGCACCCCTGATGCACTAGCACCGGACGGCGGACTCAACGACACCAGCTCTCTTGCCGTCGTCTTTGGTGTGTCAGCTTTCGTCGTTCTCGTCGGAACATATCCCTGGTGGAGATCCTGCATTGCGCAGGCCTTCCTCAGCAACGGTGACAAAAGAGGCATCAACAACGTCCCTAGCTTCGTGAAGATGAACACTGTCAACACTTCTGGATCACGTCCCATCTCAGATGGTGACGAGGCATTCTGGAGCGCTGAAGCCGGTACTCATGACCAAACACCAAGCATGTCTCAGCCCAGCAAAACTCAAGGCAGCCCTCGGAGCAGCAGTCTATCAGTCTCCTCTGACGAGCAGTCCCTTCCCTTCCCACTGCGATTCAGGCAGGATGGAGGGCCATCAGTTCAATACCTCCGCATGTAAGTTTTAATGTGTCGTTCGCCTGGTTCCTCGCGACACTCATTATGGTACCGCAGCTACAGCATGACTGCAAAAGTGCTGAAGCAGCACTGCATCGAGTTCAACCTCTCTCAGACAGGCAACAAGACCGTGCTAGTCGAACGACTGGAGGCATTCAGCCACAATCCTGACTCATGGAACAGGTACGTGACTTTTTTCACTCAATTCAACTGGGAGCTGAACTGTTACTGGAGCGCCCACCCAGGTGCCCACAGGTCTCATAAGGGACCTCGAGTGAAGAGGCCCACGGACAAGCCTAGGACAAGCCGTACCAAAAAGTCTACACAGCGTCGTGCACAACTCGTTCCAGGCGCCAACACTATCAACGGAACCACGACCATCACCGATCGATCAAAAGATGCACGCACCTCAGCCGAGGTTGCCGCACTGCTGCCGTGGGTGAGCTGCTGTTTCTTTCCTCCTCTTTTTTGATTTATCTCTGTCGTGTTGGACTGGTTGAACGTTGGCCTCACAGGCCAAGATGATCTGCATGGAGTATCCATACCAGACAACAGACGGCATGGCTCCAGTTGCCGATGCTGAACCTAGTCATTATCCTATGGGTGGGATGCCTACTGGTACAAGTGCGCACTCTGCCAGCTACATCAATGAGGTGAGCTTGCTCGGTGCTGTGTCTCCCACTTACTATGATATGACATGCTGACAGGTGGATAGTTGCAGGACACCATCATCCAAAATGCAAGCACGAGGCTTATCAGCCTCGTGCAAGATGCCCTCCTTCAACCGGGTGCTGCTGCATCCCCGCATATACTAGGTGCCGAGGAACACAGGGCAGTAGCTCCTCGCTCCACTGATGCCATCACGTCAGGACACAGCATGGTGAGAGAAGCCCCAACACCAGCGAAGCCCGACACAAACAAGGCTCGAGTGCTCAAGCTCGGAGATGGCACTACGCTACAACTGGATGACGGCGATATTCCTGATCCCCCTGCCATCAGCTTCGCAAATGATATCTCAAGCCTCAACGAGATGTGGGATGACCACACTGAGCACTGGCGGGGTATATCAATCATTGTCATTCAGGGCCACCCAATTGCAATCGAGCACTGGCCTGTACTCTATCGCTACGGCAGAGACCAGCAGTGGAAGGGGACAAAGAATAAGTGGACAGACTGGCGTGTGGGTGCAAAATTGAGTTGTTCCACTGCATCTGACTGACCTTCCTCTTCTCTGGGCATCCAGGACATCGTTGAGTGCTATCGTCAGAGCAGCCCAGAGGAGTTCTGGGCCGAATTCAGTGTTGATGGAGAACATGCGACCTTTACCACTATCGTTCAGAAGCTGCGTGATGCACGCAAGGCGGCCCACTCCCGCATTGTGCAATGGGCACACGAGGAGTTTGGTCCTGCATTCGATGCTCATTTTACTTACCGGAGGGGAGGCAGAGAGTATGTCATGACCAAGCCATCCGCTATTGCAAAAAGGTACACCGAGTTGACAGGCAAAGGTTTGGTGTGAAGGTGTTATAGATAGGATTTTTCTTTTGTGCAGTACAAATTTTACGAGAATGGGAACCAGTAATACGAGTATCAGTGCCTAATGGTCAACAGACATGCAACTTGTTGCCATGACTCAGCCAGCGGCCCACCAAAGTTGAACTAACACCACATTTTACTCAGTCCAAGCCCTGACAACAAAGTTTTCTATCAACCTATGGCTGCGACGGTTGACTCCATGCAATGTTTTCCTGGTTTATGCGGGGTGCTTTCAGGGTCTGCTACTGGCCTCGAGATAGATGAAATTGAAGAGGATGTTGCAGCGGAACAAGAAACTATAATTGAGCCCGGCGCTGGTCTGAAAACGGCGAATACTGGGTCAATTGATACTCCTGATTTTGTTAAATTGCAGATGACGCTCATGGAGGCTTCCAAGGGTGTCACAGATGGCACGGATGCTGAATACAAAAGGTGGATGCTTTTCAGCAACTCACCTGACGGGTCACTTATGCTCTTTGCAGGTTAATGAATTCATGTGTCTCATTTGCTATCAGGATCCGCCTTCTGGGGCCGGATGAGGAATTCTTCAGCAAGAGACCACGGGCTGATGCTCCTTTGGTAATTGTAGCCTGGATTATGAACGCGTGAGTGCCGCTTGGAGCCGATCTGTTGTTCTGATGCTGACATTTCATGGAAGCTGCAACTCCATTAATCTTGACGGCACCACAAAGCTGTGTTCCCAGGAACGGGGGACATATGGACATGCTCAGAAAATGCGAGCCTCAATGACCTATGGCTTTGGTAAGCTGAAGGGTCTCGGAAACATGCCATGGCATGAATCCGATGTTGGTGCCACCATGGTTGGCAACCCCTCAATCTCGGTTGAAGTTTCATCTTTCATGTGTTCGCTGCGGAGACGCAAGGTAGTGCTTTGTGATTTTGGCTGATTTGAGGCTGATCAAACTGTGCTAGGTTCAAGCTGGTGAAGTTGCAAACAGTGCTCGTGCTATAACATCGGTGAGTCACGTTGAATATTTTAATATTTCACTGGTGAAAATTTTACAACTCCTGCAGGAGATATTACTCAAATTGTACCACCACAACCGCCTTCCTGAGAACTGGACTGTCCAGCCATATCAACCTGGCGAGCGAAAACCTGCAGGAGGCTCTCGTACTTCTGACAGCCTGGACAACTAGGGTGGTGGGCGGGTCTGAAGGCTTCTGCATGCTGCATATACAGTGGCATTCTTATGTATGTTGCGGTTTGATGAGGTCCTCAAGATACAGGTTCATGATCTTCGTGTGGCAAACAATCAGGTTGTGTTGTACCTCCCCTTTCGCAAGACCCACCAAAATGGAGGTCTGTGTTCAATCTGTATTTAAATTGCGAGCTGTGATTGAGATATATGATTTTAGATATTAAACCCTTTTATCTCTGGACCCTCTCATCTAATGAAGCCCATCTCTGTCCTACGAGAGCACTTGCTGCTTGGTTTGATGAGTCCCAGATAACGACGGGCTATGTTTTCCGAAAAATGGCATCTGGTGACCGGATAGCAGTGGCAAATAACCCTATGGTGTGTAATTAATGTGTACCTCGATGAAAACAGCTAAAGGTGCCCTTCTAGTCTTCAGAACAGTTCTTAGAGCTGTTTCGAAACAACCTTCTCGACATAAATATTGACCCTGCTCCTTATGGCACTCACTCGTTTCGTCGGGGGGGCTGCCAATATTTGCATATAGAAAGGCGGTGGCCCTTGAGAAGGATTTGTGAGTGGGGTGGGTGGAGCACTGAATTCACCAACATGACAATAGTCAAGTATCTTATCTCCTCGAATGATGACCCTGCAGAGCCAAGGGACCATTTTTTCAACCCCAACCAGCACCCAGCTGTCAAGTGTCCGCAGTGTGGCCGATGCTGCTTATGTGCTTGATTGCAGTAGGGCAAAGGGTATGAACCTTGACATCACATTAGTAGCCTCGCTTCCTGTTGTACCCGAGACCAAACCAATAGTAGTAGTTCATAATACAGACGAGGTTTGCTGGGCTTCCTGCCGCGATGAAAAGGTACTGTCAGAGAGATTCAGAGTGGAATGCTTGACGCACGCAATACTGATGCTTTTATCTCCATCAGCCTCACCTAGTGCTGTCGCATTGTCTTGAACTGATTCTACAAAGACCATACTCCATGTCGCATCTACCACAGACACCAAAATGAATATGATTTCAGTATTAAGTCGAAGAGCCGCTCGCACCAAAATACCAACGAAAGTATTACATCCCAAGCTCACAATAAACCGCGCTCAAGATCAAGAACCTACAATCCCTCGCCATACTTCCCCATCACCCCCCTCAACACCGCCTCATTCCCAAACCTCGGTTCAAAACACGCAGCAAACGGCTTAGGATGCGCAATAACACCATCCACAAAACCTGCTTCATCAATTGGGTTCTCAGGGTCCTGCGTGATCTTGAAAGACCACAAGAGGAGCGCAGCGTTAATGAAGATCGAGCGGTTTGCTATATGTTGTCCTGGGCAGATTCTGCATGTCGCACGTCGCATTTTAGTATGTAGGCAACTGGGTTTAATATCAGGGACAAGTACCTGCGTCCAAAACCGAATGAAGGGAACTTGAGGTCGTCCCGGATTTTGCCGTCGGTGTTGAGCCACCTCTGAGGATCGAACTGGTCAGGGTTGGGGTAGACGCTTGGGTCACGGGAGATTGCCCTGTTGAAAGGTGATCAGTACAATATCGCATAGAATGGATGTTAGTCGTACCAGTGGTTGCCAAAGACGATAGCACCTTCTGGGATACACGTATTCTTCTGCTCAGGCAGTTAGAACAAAAAAACATGACAGAGCACCGAAAAACGTACGTATGGGATATCAGTCAGTGCACGGTGTGCGAATCCGAGAGTCGTCATGGGTCTCCAGCGAAGACACTCCAGCATGAACACTTCAATCTGCGGGAGGGAGTTGTAGTCATCGAATGTGGGAGCTGTAACAAAGTTGAGATTTCACTCAGATGAATAACAATATTCGACTTACCTCTGTCACGACTAATGACGACGTCCAGTTCTTCTTGCACTTTCTCCTGAGCCTTGGGATAGCATGCAGAAGCCATGACAACAACCATAATCGCAACAGCAGTCGTGTCCGAACCGACACCAAAGAGCGACCCAGCAAGATAAGCCATTTCTTCGTCCGAGAGCTTGTGCAAAGACTGGTTCTCAAGAAGATAGCGAGCAAACGAGGGACCAGCTTTGCTGGTCGCCTATGAAGAACAGTCAGGTACTGATGAGGAAAGAAGTGGAACCAACCAACCAATTCTCTCAAAACACGATCAAGCTGGTCATGGAAGAGCTGACTCTCTTCCCTTCTCCACTGCTCCAACTTGGTTCCATATCCCGGAACATATTTTAATATCGGGTAGCGCTCTACCAGTAATGCACCAGGTCGCATGAGCATCTGGAAGCACTTGAGCATTTTCTGGATGACGATGATCTCGGGGGGTCGACTTGCCATACGTGACACGCAAGATGACGGAGGCGGTGTAGCTTGAGTTGAATGCATAAGTGATCATAAAACAACACATTGAGTGCAACACACCGATTCGCAGCTGCTTGGTGTCCTTTAGGGTTATTAAGGATATCGAGGATGACATTACGGGCAGCATTCATCTGGATTGGCACATAGGATTCTGCAGCTTTCGCTTGAAGGTGAGTATGAGCCGCTCTGAATCACATAATTTCAGTAAAATAGGTCGTTAAGAGGAGATCTCAACCCAACCTGCGAAGTCTGTGGAACTGCTCTCCTGCGGGTGCAAGGATCAAATGCAGCCCGCGCGACAATATCTCTCCTGCCGCAACTGCACGAGGACGGTCGGCTAGTAGACTACCTTCTTTCTCCATTATATTGACAGATTCCTGTGCAGGTGAGTATGTACTTGGTGACCAGTATTGGAACCATCTTACCTGGTATCTGCCAATGATGACCATGATCTTAGGCCCGATCCGAAGCGAGATGATGGGTCCATAGGTATTGATCCATTCTGCAAACTGCTGAGATTGACTATGATGTGTTTCCCGTTAGTGTCCACATAGAGTTTTGTATTTTATGTACTCACTTACAGTGGCTCAAAAAACTGTCCGCATGTTTTCACATTTTTCACTATCTATGATATTGTGTGAGAATATACAAACACATCAAGGACATGCTGGTACCACATTGTAGTACTACTTCAGGGCTTCCAATTGAGCCCTATGGCGTGGGAATCGGTCGAGATATGGTGGAGATATAAGGCTTACAAAATGATGACTCATGTGGACAGTTTTTTGACTCAAGTATTTTACAGTGATAATCAGGTATTCCAGTACATTGTGTGACCTCCCTTGGCTTTAATTACTGCCTCTATCCTTCTAGGCATACTCTTAAAACTATATCTAACTATATAAACCAGAATGTGTCATGTGTCATGGTCATAATCACCATGAAAGCCGTCTCCTCTGCTCAAAGGGATAATATCCTCTCTTTGTCCTGTGCTGGCCTCTCTGCTCATTAAATTTCCTCTAGAACTGAAGTATGCAAGTCTACTGTGGCCATGTGTATCAAAGAAAGCCACCTGGACAAGGAAAACTCTTGTGGAGGACATCCACCTCTGCTAATAAGAGGGCTATCATTCAACATATCACTACAGGAAAGGCTAATAATGCTGTCCAAGCCACCCATTATATCAATTCCACCATCACCACCACTGTCTTTTCACAAACTGTGAGGAGTGTTCTCAAGGCAGCTCATCTCAAGGCAGTAACAAAGAAGGAATGCCTCTTCTCTCTATCAAACATAGGCAGAGAAGACTACCTTTGGCTTGGCCCATCAAAACTGGACTGTAGAGGATTGGAAGCATGTTATATGGTCAGATGAGACCAAAATCAATAGGATTGGGTCAGATGGGAAGGTATATGTATGGAAAAAGAAGAGGGATTTTCTAACAGACAGAGAGGTTAGTGAGACATCAAATTTGGAGGAGGTTCTCTAATGGTATGGGGCTGTATGGGATGGAATGGTGTGGGTATGCTTGCTGAAGTTGAGGGGAGGATGGATGCTGAGCAGTATGTGGACATTCTAAACAACCACTTGCTGCCTAGCATAGCTGAATCAGGGATTGATGAAAAAGACATTATTTCCCAACAGGATAATGATCCCAAGCACACATCTAGGAGAGCCAGACAATGGTTTAAAGAGCATATTATCAATGTTCTTGACTGGCCAGCACAGTCCCCTGATGTCAATGTCATTGAACATCTCTGGGGAACACCCAAGAAGAAGCTTCAAGCCTATGAAACCCCCTCTAAAGGAGTATAGGAGCTGTGGGAGAGTGTAGCAGTGGAATGGGCAAGGATTACAGCAGAATATTGCCAGAAATTGATTGAGAGTATGCCTAGAAGGATAGAGGCAGTAATTAAAGCCAAGGGAGGTCACACAATGTACTGGAATACCTGATTATCACTGTAAAATACTTGAGTCAAAAAACTGTCCACATGAGTCATCATTTTGTAAGCCTTATATCTCCACCATATCTCGACCGATTCCCACGCCATAGGGCTCAATTGGAAGCCCTGAAGTAGTACTACAATGTGGTACCAGCATGTCCTTGATGTGTTTGTATATTCTCACACAATATCATAGATAGTGAAAAATGTGAAAACATGTGGACAGTTTTTTGAGCCACTGTAGTTCTTGGCAGAGGAGTTCTGAATAGCCAATTTCCAGGAGGACCAGGAGGAAGAGGCAGGCGTGATTTTGAGCGTATCTTAGCGCGGAGGAGCTTGTCGGCGAGAACGACAGCGACTAATGCTCCTAGGGCCTTGAACCCAAATGTCAAGTCAAACATCCTCTAATAGTTTATAAGGGCAAATACAGTAAAACTTAGTACAAGAGAGAGGACGGAGGAATGAAAGGTACTGACCGCATGGTGCAGCAGCTGAGTTTTATGTCGGACGAGGCTGACAGGCGCTTGACGCTGACCAGTGCTGATGGGAGACCAAGCCTATTCAAGGGTGATGGACTGACAGTTAGTGCGGCTTTGGGACAGCTCAGCCAGTTGTCATGAGATGCAACTCGTATGACAAATTGACAAATATCGATGTCCTGATCCACCGCGGCGTTCGCAGTGGAGATATCCAACTTGCTGGAACAATTGAAACTTCTGGTCAATTGAGGCGCATCCAGTATATGTGATGGACACAAAGCTTCGGACAAGATACAAGTACAGTATGTCAAGATTTGTATCAAAGAGTGAGATCAATCAATTCACGATCATCATCATCACCTGTGAGATCAATTATAACACCGTCTGCGGGCACTGCTTCATCTTCATCTTGTGTGAGGTCGATGACACTCGCAGAAGAGGCAGCAGCTGCGGAGGCCGCACCTG